TCTCTCTCTTTCTCCCTCCCTTCTCTCTCCCTCTCTCTCACACACACACACAAAACACACACACACAAAACACATATACACACAACACACACACACTCACACACACAACACACACACACACACACACATACACACACCTGCTCCACAATATAAAAACAAAGCATTTAATTTTTTTAAATGGCAGACACCATTGTTGTTGTTGTTGTTATTGTTGTTGATGTTTCAGTTTTCACTTAAATACTTAAGACTAAAATCCATCGACGTCGTCACTTGTTACAACAATTGAAGCTGCTATGACAGTGTGAATTTCACTGAAGACCAGCTTTACGGCATTTACATCGCCTCGAACTACACTTTTTGGCACCAGTACAGTTGCATCTTGTGAAGCCTTGTCCACCTGGAGAGGATTGAAAAAATCACCGCCGAACGCAGTGAAACTATTTTTTCGGTGTTTATGTCGTCAGTGTTCAGAAGACGCTCAGGGCACAGATCGAACTGATTTCTGGAATACAAACCAGCTTTTACGGCTATCTTCTTGTCTGTCAATTATGACCCCAAGGATATTTCTAGGATCGCCTCTCCCTCGATCAACAAGTGGAACTGGCACACAAACGTTGTCTCTTTGTTTGCCAGCTGGCATATCTGTTACAGTAAGAACACGTAGATCAATCTAGTTAATACGCGTAATCACTGAATATTTCAGTGAAAACGTGTAATCCCTGTACAGTGTGGCGGGGCTATTACGTGAATTTACTGAATTCTCAGATGTAAAAACAGGTAAAATGATAGGTCTAATTTTAGGGATTTCGCGTAATCACTAGAAATTTCAGTGATTACGTGAAACCCATGAGTGAAACGGGGATTACGTGTATTCACTAAAATATTCAGTGATTACGCGTATTCACTAGGTACGCGTTCTTACTGTAACGTATACACTCTCTTTTCCCCCTTTTCTTTTTCAGTCTGTCCGTCCAGTTGTCTGCTGATGTCTGGCTGATGGGTGTTTGGGTGCCCCTCCCCCCTTGTCTCTCTTTCTCTCTCTCTATCACTCTCCATCTCTCTATCTCGCATTCTCTTTCTCTCTCTCTCTCTCTTGTCCTCTCTCTCTCACCCTCTCTCGGCCTCCCTCTCTCTTTCTCTCTCTCTCTCTCTCTCTCTCTCTCTCTCTCTCCCCCCCCCCCCGGAGGTTAGGGCGGGGGGGGGGGGGGGGCTTTTGATTTCGTGAAAATATTAACGTCACAATTGCAAACGCCACCGCCTTGGATCTAAATGCCCCCAGCGCTGTCATTGCTGTGGTCAATCAAAAGGGACTTATGCTATGCCTAGTGCCTAGATCGGGCAGGACTTAATAAGGTAGACCGCCGTAGCGTGGTAGACCTTCAAATAAACCGGCACACGATTGTTTTCCTCACTCCAACATACCCCTGTCCCTGCACTGTTGCGCGGGAAGTTGGAGTGTGCCACTGATAGGTCCTACATTGTACTTCTTTTCTCTCCCCAAATTTGTACGTCTTACTCTGTCCCTGTACTAAATTGTCGCGATTGTGTCGATTTGCTTCTGTTTACTCAAACAAAGGTGCTCCGTTAGCTCAGTTGGTATCATACTGGAGAACGGAGCAGATGGCCCTGGTTCGAATCCCAAACGGGGTGTTCTTGAACTCGGATCGTTTTGCAGAAATTTCCAAGTCTCTCAAACTCAACATAATATTGTTTTGCTTCGTCCTTTCAGAGACAGACGTTAAATTCGGAGGTCCTGCCTTTTTGATAACCTAATAACACCCAAACTCCCGATGTCTTTCATAAGGAACATGAACTCTTCCCTCCTCTTCTTTCAGATTTTCTCCAACTGCACGGCGGCGAACGTGACTTCCTTGACCCCTGGTCAGTGCCAGCTGGACTGCCCGTTCTTCATCCCTTACATGGCCGTGGTCTTTTCCTCAACGTTGATAGCCTGCCTGGGCCTCATGCCCAGCTATATGATGACCATTAGGTGAGTGTTGACGTCATCAGCTGTATGACGAGTTGGTGGGGAATTTTTATTAATTGCACTCGTGTATTGGTGTGAACACACACACACACACATACATGCACACTCACGCACACACACACACATACATGCACACTCACGCACACACACACACACGCACACAGATACACAAACACATGCACACATGTGCGCACACGCATACATGTATGCACATAATATGTGTGTGTATAAAAGTGTACTTGTGTGCATTTATGTATAGTGTAAAGAGTCTGTGTGTGTATGTTTGTGTACATATATAAAAGAGAAAAAAAGAAAGAGAGAGAGAGAGAGAGGGGGGGGGGAGAGGGGGAGAAAAAGTAAAAAAGATAGAGAGAGAGTAAGAGAGAGAGAGAGAGAGAAAGTGTGTGTGTGTGTGTGTGTGTGTGTGTGTGTGTGTGTGTGTGTGTGTGTGTGTGTGTGTGTGTGTGTGTGTGTGTGATGTGTGATTTGTTTGATTTGCTGGCCCTTGTACATTTGGTCATAGCAAGACAAAGTCTAGAAATGACATATATCTTGGTTTACGAATTTATTTTATGTTCGTTTATTTTGATTTACTTACCGCTCTCTTACAGGTCGGTAGAGCCCAGGGATGAGAGTCTAGCGGCTGGTCTTGTGTCTTTCATCCAGACCATACTAGGTAAGCGTTTTTACCTGACCACATTTCTTAGCAAGTCCTCGTGTTTTATACCTGCTAGCCAAGCCTGCTTTTTAAAAAGGTTTTTGTAAGCTTTACGGCACTTGCAATACAAATATGTCATATAACTTATAAGTTCCGAAGACTAGAGGTGTTACTAAAGAGTAACCTTCTTAGAAAAGGAGGAACGATAAGGACGACAGATTCCCTGTATCCCATAGAAACAAAATGTTACAGGAGAAGGAAATAACTTAGTCAATTCATTTATCAATGTTTGTTAAACATTGAAGTCGGGATGTTGCTCTGGCGATGGTTATTGAGCTACATGTCTAAATATTTGAAACAGCATCTGCAATGTTACATATAGTAGAAAAAAAAGCATTAAAAAGGGTGTGTTGTTTTTTTTGACAGTGTGGCTTACAGTGTTGTTGTACCCAGGTGACGATATGCTTGTTTGATAGGAAAAAAAGAGCAAACAGCGCTAGTCACCACTGCACTGGCCAACCACTCACGCTCTGCCTCCAGACGAGATGAATCATGACCCTTTTACTTTAGTTGGTTGTGAAGGAATAGGAAATCATGAAAGATCGTACGTTATTGAAGATGTTTAACGCTTCTATCGAATTAATTTCGATTCATTTAGGAGGCGGGCGTCATACACCTTGCCTGTGTCTTCAGCTCTGGCTGAGTGGGCTACAGCTACAACATTCCAGCAGACATACGGGGATGCTCGTTAAACTAAAAAGAAAAAGAAAAATACAATAAAAACAAAAAACATCTCCATAATATGGGAATCTAACTCGGGTCTTCTGTGTGCAACGGCGAAGAGCCAGCCCCTAACCCGAGGTTACAAGTACTAACGGATTTATTTTTGGATGCCTTGTTTCAACTTCAACCTCTCAGTGGGAAGTGGGGCATAATTAGATAGGCCCAACTTGCTCTTTTCTTTTGTTGGTCCTTCCTGTGTCTTCGTTTTTCTCTATACCAAATGACCATTATTAATAAACGCGTTTCTCCTTAAATCGATTTCAAACCCCCCAAACCGCTTTACACCTATTTCCCCAGGTTTCCTCCCATCCCCGGTGATCTACGGGATCCTGGTAGACGCCACCTGCCGACTGTGGTCCCCCGGAAGTGGCTACTGCTTGCTGCACCACCGGGACCAATTGCGCTTCCGGTTCTACGGACTAAATATCGGCCTGCGGGCCTGTGATATCTTAGTGCTGGCCGTTATGTTGTGGCTGGTGCGCAAGGGGGACAGGGGGGAGAGGGAGAAGGAAGGAAAGACGAAAGGGAAGAAAGAAGAAGGGGAGGGAAGGGAGATGGAGTTGAGGTGAGCTGTACATTACAGTAACCAGTCCAAACAACTTTTTGTTTGAGTTTGAGATTTTTAAAAAAAGAGGCATATCAACTTGACATTTTAACGATCACTAGATGCAATGAAAAAACAACAGAAAGATAGACGCATCAAAGGGAAAGAAAACACATTATGTATGTGACCTAACAGTGGCGTCCTTTGTGAAGGTAATGTCAATAACTCAATAACAATCTTTATTCATCTGGCGGCAGAAATTTGTTCTGGTAGCATGTCAGCAAAACAACAGACACATTTCACTAGGTGCTTGGGCCTGAGCACATTCGTTTTATTTAGAAAAATTAGTTTTACCGCATTTGAAACACTTACTATTAGGTCATATAAGTGCTGAAGATTAGTGGTGTTACAATAGAGTAACAAACATAAAAGGAAAGAGGAGAGACAAGAATACGAAAGAAGGAGCAAACCATACAAGAGCACCCGCCAACCACCCACATGGAAATGTGAGACATGCAGACAGAAACAATAGGGAGAAAGAAAAAAGTGGGACCTACCAAGGTCGCCCTCCAACCACTCACGTAAAGAAAAAAATAGGACCTACCAGTGGCGCCCTCCAACCACCCACGTAACCTACAAGTCGCTGAGATGAACACAGACACATGATGAGACTGACATAAGACTTTTTTGCTTTAGTTTTAGTAAGCGTTATACGGCACTTGTAACAAAATTAGGTCATACTGTGTAAATGCCAAAGGTTAGGCTTGTTATTACAAAAGGTTGCACAGTACCATTTAAAGAAAAGGACGATAGATATTTGATAGGAAAGAAGGAGCAAACCACACCAGAGCATTCGCCAACCACCCAACTGACACACGACTGACATGATGTGACGGACACGAGGGCCGCCAAGTAAACTATGGTAAGTCAAGTTTCTCAGGTTTTACAGGAGAGACAAAAAATGGATTTTCTTGAAGCGTTTTTGGTTGGATAAACTTTATTTTCATAAGTGAGCCATATGTCTGTCATGGCATTTGTAGGCTCCCTTATGAAAATGGTAAACTTTATTTTCATAAGTGAGCCATATGTCTGTCATGGCATTTGTAGGCTCCCTTATGAAAATGATAAACTTTATTTTCATAAGTGAGCCATATGTCTGTCATGGCATTTGTAGGCTCCCTTATGAAAATGATAAACTTTATTTTCATAAGTGAGCCATATGTCTGTCATGGCATTTGTAGGCTCCCTTATGAAAATGATAAACTTTATTTTCATAAGTGAGCCATATGTCTGTCATGGCATTTGTAGGCTCCCTTATGAAAATGATAAACTTTATTTTCATAAGTGAGCCATATGTCTGTCATGGCATTTGTAGGCTCCCTTATGAAAATGATAAACTTTATTTTCATAAGTGAGCCATATGTCTGTCATGGCATTTGTAGGCTCCCTTATGGAAATGATAAACTTTATTTTCATAAGTGAGCCATATGTCTGTCATGGCATTTGTAGGCTCCCTTATGAAAATGATAAACTTTATTTTCATAAGTGAGCCATATGTCTGTCATGGCATTTGTAGGCTCCCTTATGGAAATGATAAACTTTATTTTTATAAGTGAGCCATATGTCTGTCATGGCATTTGTAGGCTCCCTTATGAAAATGATAAACTTTATTTTCATAAGTGAGCCATATGTCTGTCATGGCATTTGTAGGCTCCCTTATGGAAATGATAAACTTTATTTTCATAAGTGAGCCGTATGTCTGTCATGGCATTTGTAGGCTCCCTTATGAAAATAAAGTTTATCCACTAAAAACGTTTCAAGAAAATCCTTTTTTTCTCTCTCCTGTAAAATTTTTTAAAAAACATGACTTACCATAGTTTACTTGGCGGCCCTCAATTACATATTGCCACTGACATGATGTGACTGACATATTGCTACTGACATGATGTGACTGACATATTGCTACTGACAATACATGATGTGACTTGACATATTGCCACCGACATGCAGATGTGACTGACATACATTGCCACTGACATAAGACTGACATAATGCCACGGATATGATGTGACTGACTAAGACTTGACATAATGCCACCGACATGTTGGGACTGACAAGTTGCTAATAACGTGGCTTGTCTACAAACACCTCACTTCTTAAAGTTCCTTCTCCGTTCATCTTTAAATGGACATCCCATTCTAGTGCAAAGGCTGCTGTCGCCGTAAGCCCTCCAGGCCCCCATAGAGTTTTGGGTTTCTCTGCCTAGGGTTGAGCCAATGAATTATTTCCTTCTACTTCTAAGTCAAGTGCCTTGAGCATTGGGCACGAGGCAAAAAACACCTCACTGATAAATATGTACAGTGCATGTACTTTCATGATTTCATGACCAGGCAGCGAGATTCCGCAATATCGTTTGTTAACTTCTGCATATCTATTGGTGCTGTAATGTTATTGACATGATTATGAACAGAATACAATGTAATGTACCGTACAAACACAATTCTTTTGTAATAATTGCTTATTTTGTCATTTTACTCATGATTTGCTTCTATTATTTTGTTTTGAGATGTCATAACAATATATATATATATATATATATATATATATATATATATATATATATATATATATATATATGATTATAAATATAAGTGCAAATTTGGAACAACCATTATAACAAGTGCTCTTCCTATTGCTACTTTAATGTTGAGAATATGTCTATGTGATTGAAGGGGTGGGGTGGGGTGGGGTGGGTTTTTGTGGGGAGGGGAGGGTTGCATAGTTGTCTCGAGTATGGTAATCATTTTTGTAGTGTCAAAATCATTGGGCTTGATCACATAATATGCAGGCTACATAACTGTAAAAGGCATACATGTTATGATAGCCTTCTTTTGCTTATTAAGTAGGCCTGTATTTGATGTATATCGTGTCCAAAATGTAGTATACGCGTTCAAAAATGAAATCTTGCACCAATAAGACCTGTTCACGATGATGTCATCTTCACCGTATTACTATATTAGACACATACAGGCCTTATACTTATCACGTATACATTTTTTGTTGTAAATTGGCACTATTGGTGCAGTATTTTATTACCCATACATGAGAGCAAGAGTAGGTGTCTGTCTAGGGGTCGGAATGGACATTTTTAAAATTCTTTCTTTGTGTATGAACGTGTGTGAGTGCCAGTGTACCCCTGTGCATCAGTCTGGGAGTAATGCTGTTCAAATTTGTTATTTGTTGCTTGAAGACAATGCTACACATGTGCAAAGAGAACATAAATTCATGTATATACAACTTGTAAGCCAATGTCCCCTTTTTTGAAAGCATATAAATAATTTATACCATGACATATCGTTATGTTACAATTTTTTTATGTTTTGATACGAGTTTTACAGCACTTGCAACACAATTTATTGAATTAGGTCACATAAATGCCACAGATTAGAAGTTTAGTTTTAGTAGAGGTTTTACGGCTCTCGCAACTGCATAAGGCATAAGGTCATATGAGTGCCAGAAGATTAGAGGTGTTACAAGAGAGTAACAAACATAAAAAAGAAGAAGGGGAGATAAGGACAATAGATGTTTGATTGGAAAGAAGAAGCAAACCACACCAGAGCACCCGCCAACCACCCACATAGATTAGAAGTGTTACAAGAAAGTAACAAACACAAAAAAGAAAGGGGAGAGATAAGGAGGGCAGATGTTTGACAAGAAAGAACTTAACCCTATCCGTGTGTTTTACTATCATATCCAAATGACGTGGGGGACTCTGTGCCACCACTTTCCAAAGAGGAAATTTACTCGTTAATCCAATCCGTACGTTTTGCATAGCAGTCTGTCAAAAGAAATACTGAAAGTTTCAAAGAGAACTCCGTACAAAAAGTATTCTAAAATGTGAAGAATACAACCCCGGGAGTACAAAATTACCCCAGGGCATACTGATAGGGTTAAGGAACAAACCATACCACAGCATCCACCAACCACCCACATATTACAAATTATTTATTCCATGGGCCAAGTTGCCAGGACGAAAATGGACAACAATGGTGAGTCTCAACACACTTTACTTTACTTTTCTGATCCAGCGGCCATTTGGGTTCCAGCCCATCAGTCTGAGTCTCAACACACATATGTACACACGGGCACAACATGTAACACTGGACTGAAGGGAAGACACTTGGTCGGATACACCAACTCAAGAGCACAACTCGTAACAGCAGCATCCTTTGTCTTTATTATTGACAATACACAACTCACAATTCTCCAAACTGCTCTGTTCAAATGCAAACACTGACACACACGCACAGATACATACACAAATGAATATATCTTTTTATTTCAATTTCACAATGATTAAAAATGTTGTCAAGACTGGAAGCAACCATGCATTGACAAAAGCATCAAGTAATGCAAATGAGGTATAAATAAAAATGGAAGGGCTTCTCAGCCGATACAATACAGGAAGCATAATTTGAAACGTTTTACTCAACAATTTTATTTGCTTCAAAAATTCCTAGCTAATATGTACATCTGTGAGCCACTTTCTGGCTAAATTCTTGTTTATCCTAATCAGAGTGCAAGCAAAACCATGCCAATTTTGGACACTTTCATCTGACTTCATTTGGCTTGTATCTCTGTCTAGATACCCAAACTCTTAATGTTACACTGCGTAGCTCTACTGAACAAACTTACAGTGCAAGTGTCTGAGGTTGTGCTTGTAGATCACAACACTAGGAAGAAAGCATAGTGCATACAATGGGCCAACATGTTAATTAATGAAAACATTCCAGTAAAATAAATTGAGTATATAATACCTCAGAACACATTGCTTACACAAAGAACACAATTCCAAAAACTGATAAATATTGAGACATTCTGTGAAAATAAAAACCTTCTGCTGGATAATTACTGGGAATAAATAAACAGACACATGTACACGAACAGTGCTCTTTTCAAGGCACAGGTTCTGAAAGACACTGAAGGTAGTTTAGTGGTGTTCAAATTTTCTACAAAATCACATCAACACATGCAGGAAGAAGCAGGTGATATCAGCCATAATAATGCTGAAAAAAAATGTAATTGTAGGCCTACATGTTTTACACCTCCATCAACATAATTTAAATCATTCATGAAGTGGATTGCTTCGACACTTGTCAGTCAGGGACGACCCAGGCTGAGAGGGATGCAACCTTCCATCCAAAAGAGATACTCAATAAAATACATCCCCACATGGGCAAGCGACATTTACCATCATATGGACATTGATTGAACACATTCCACTTCACCTACAGCAACATATGGTGAAAAAGTCTCACATTTACTACCACAGCACTTGGGTCACTCAATGCAAACATAAAGGGGAAATTTTTGTTACAGAACAGACAATAGCACCAGTTTTTGCAAGAGGCATTTTAGGAGTAGGCAGGATAAATCTAGAGTTGGTATTCATACAACTGCCTGCAAAACCCATGTTTCTTTTTAACAGTCATTTCTTTGTTTCATCTGACTGTCCCCAAACAATCAAGACTTAAACATTGCAACTGTTGTCATTCAAACAAATATATCAAATACATGCACAGGGAGGGTGGGAGGAAAAAACACAGGGCTACCCACGTCAAATCTCCCTGTTCAGGTAGATTCAGGGTCAATTTCCTTCTTTTAAACTGACTGCATGTGCAGCAAGACTGAGTTGTCAGTCCAGCGGTTAGTGGGTGAGGGTGTGTCTATTTAGATTGACTAATTGTGATATACACAATGTGCAAAATGTCTTTCTTATCATCAGTCGTTGAGATCGCACGCATTTCAATTCGCTGTCACTTTTTTCATTAATCACCATTTAATTAATTTATAAACGTTTCCTAAAACTACTGAACTATTTCTCCACAGAAGCTGATTGAGACTATCTCTTTTACTCTATAAAAAGTCCTGAAAAAAGGACATCGCATGCCTTAGGTCAACCCAGGACTATGCTGCTCAGATGGATCCAAGAGGATGAAAATCCAGAGGAAAAACAAGTTAATAAAAGACCATCAAAACAAGACGATTTTTATAAAGATGTCATAAAGAGAGTAATCCATAGCATGTTCCACAACAGAGTCCTGATGACTATAAAGAAACTAAAACGTGCACCTGAAAGAGAACAATGACATTGACGTTTCAAAATCAACTTTACAGAGGGCTGCGTTCACTTGGATGTACTTTTCGGAAGACAGATGCAGGAAAAAACCTTATCAGTGAGAGATGAGATCTCGTTGCAGAAAGATGCAAATATTTACGAAAAATCAAGGGCTACCGAGAAAAAGGCTACACACACTCTTGTCCACATGGACAAAACTTGGACAGACGCCCATCAAACCAACGAGAAGGGGTGAATGTCAAAAGATGGAATGAAAAGACGACAGGCTTCAAGTAGCAAAGGGGATAGAATAATATTTCATATGCTGGCAGTGGGGAGAGTGGATTCGTGCCAAATGCCGAATTGATTATTCAGTCAAAGACTAAAGACAACAGGGACTATCATTAAGAAATGGATGGCCACAACTTCAAGAAATAGATTTCAGAGAAAGTTTTGCCCAACATTACAAAAAAGTAACTTTTTGTTCTTGAGAACACATCATCATACCACAACACTAGACGCTGAGGACTAGATTCCAACAGCTCAATGGAAAGTTCAAGAAGTAAAGGAGTGGTTCAGGAAAGAAAATATCAATTTTCCAGAAAACAGCTTTAAATATGAACTCCTTGACATGGTCAAACAAAGACAAAAAGTGTATGCTGTTGACAAAATCCATGCAACAGGCCATGACGTACTACGCCTTTCCCCCTTAGTACTCGCATCTCAACCCTATCAAGTTGGTTTGGGTAAAGGTCAAAAGGGATGTTGCTGACCAAACACAGCCTTCAAAATGGCAGATGTAGAAGAACTGACATACAATGCACTTGAACAAGTAGATGCTGACTCTTGCTCCCTCCCAATTCCAGACAAATGTCAGTCACTGGATGAGAGATGAGACCTCGTTGCAGTTTTTTCACTCCATTGAACAGTGGAGAGGGCTCTTAGAGGACTACAGACAGAAAAATCCATCATCTAGCTCGCTGGACAAGGGGAAGTTCCCAACAATATTCATTGATGCCATGGGGATGCGATCCGTAGCAAACCTCATCTCTGGGTTCAAAGCCTGCGGCTTAATGCCTTTTGACCCACAACGTGAGTTGAAAAAACTGTCATCACATACTACTGAAAACAGCAACCCAAGCAGTATCTCTGATGCTGTGCTTGAGAATTTGCAGCAGTTAAATAAGCCCACTCCCCCAAATGCATTTGCAACAGGCAAATCAAAACAGGAAAAAGGTGTCCGTCCCTCCTGATAAATTGCTCACCGCAGATGACCTAAGACCACCACAGACACCAGGCCCTTCAATGCCCAAAGCTGCATCAGCATCATCTACACCAGGCCCCTCCTCAATCAAATCATCGTCAGCAGCTTCATCAACTTTGATCACGTATCCATGAACACAATGCCGCCAAGATGGAGACAATAATATATGCTATGGAGGAAGACTCAGTCATAGACAGCTGGCAGTCATAGTATTCATCTGAAGATGAGGAGTAGGTCCCACCATCCAAGAAGCCCAAAAACTTTGCTTACTTACTAAGAGGGGCAGTGATTGTGAACTGAGTAGTTCGGATGGTGAATCGGCATCAGGCCAGGACAATGCAAGCAGTCTTCTTAATGGTGATGGTAAAGATAATGTGTTTGCGGCAACTAATGACTTGTCTCAACATCTTGAGAACTTCTCCAACAGTTCTGAAGTTACTGGAAACATGAGACTGAACATTCCTCTTGATGAGTATAGTGCATTGTCGTGCTTCGAATTGTTCTTCGACGACTTCATCGCCAAACACATCAAAGAGGAGACCAACTGATATATTACTCAGCTACAAGCAGGCTTCAGAGTCAAACTAACACCACTGATGCTAATAGCAATGAAGTAGAGAGCAGCTAGGAACATTCTTTTTCAGAAAATGGAGGACACTGATAATAAAAGAAACTAAAGGTATCCTTCTGCTCTTTCACATGACTATTGGTGTTCGGATGAACATGTGCATTCGCTGTTTGTTTCTCGCATTATGTGTAGAGAAAGGTTCAAGAGCATATTATCTATGCTGCATTTCAGTGACAACTGGTATTATGAGCCTTAAGGACAGCCTAACCCCGACCCCAGTGATAGACCAGAGTCTTGTACGAAGACTTCCAAAAACAATTTGAAAAGCACTACACACAAGAACAATGTCGTTGTTGACATGGCGATATGCTCCTGACAAGGACGACTCGGATTCAAGATTAATATTTCAAGGACAAACCAAATTCGTGGGGTATAAAACTCTACCAGTTCTACAGGTAAGTCTTTGTCAGGATATGTTTATTGCATCAAAATTTATGCTGTTGAGAAGAACCTGAGCAAAAAGCTGACAGATGTAATACTCCGCATGGTACAATCCCCCCTTGACAAAGTATGCCATCTTTTCTGTGACAACTGTTATAGGCCCACGTGTCCACATCTGCTTCATCAACTGACAGAGAGGTATTATTTTTTTATTTTTTTTGGGGGGGGGGGGGGGGGCACTGCATCAGGGATCTTTAACGAGCACAATTTGCACACGGGACTTCCGATATTTTTTCACCCTTATCCGATATGGCTAGGTGTTGGATGTAGGTGGCACTCTTTATATTGGCACAAGACATTCGATGCATTTTCAGAGCATAATTATAGAGACCTCAAAAAACTTGCTGAGGCTACCAATCATATTTTTATGAATCATGCTCTCTAACCGTACAAGAAGTTCAGGTGACAGGCCCCTCTGATCAATCCTCAACAACCTACATATCCATAAACTTATCTTCAACAGGTGATGTCTACCTCCGCACTGACTGCCAAGGCCCCCTCTTTAACAACTGCACACAGGCCCTTATCCCATCATTAATATCAGTGATAAGTTCTTCACATTTGACATCAAGGGTATGTATATACCTAATATATATATATCATACGGTGTTTGTGAGTACATATTAAACTGTCTGTATTAGTTCACAAACTGACGTCTTATAGAGTCTCTACATACGGATGTAGTTGATAGGCTAGTACTATGATAGGGCAGCAACTTTTAGAATGTAAGGATTTCTGTAAAAACACCAAAGATTGGAAGCACTGCATTCCTTTTTTAAAATAAAATTTGGCACCCATTGCAAAATCAGTAGTTTTGACAACCAGTAGTATTGACACCTTTATCATGGTGATAGTACAAGTTCAAAATTGATAACTACCAGAAAAATCGATAGAAATAGGCAGCCCTGTAAACACGGCAATGACCCTGTGTGAGTTATGGTTCTTTCTGCTGCAGAATAATAATTTCATATACCATCACTAGTGATATATTTCGCTTGGTTTTTGTAAGTCAATATCCACATGATTCAGATCATTTACGAGGCCGGCTCCAATCCTGCCAACTCTAGCTGAGAGGGAAACAACATTCCCGCAATGAGATCAAGATATTCTGTGAAAATTCTCCCAAAAGGGAAATCGAGCTCAGGCCTTCTGCAAGCGACGGCTAATCGCTTAACTAACCACTACACCACAGAAGCCAGTACGGAGTCTGCGGTTACTCCAGCGAGTGTGGTGACATTACCAGAGTTATGTTACGGTGAGAGGGACAAGGTAACCGCTGACAGTGCACCAACACTTAACATGAGACAAGTACTTCTGCGTCTGTGAGAATGTGGCCAAACACTTGCCTGAGCTCCGTCAAAAGCGGAGCATTCTCGGCCCCATCATCCGCTTCTCCAGTCTCTGCCCCCAGTAAATTTTCCACTTGGCTCAGAACACAGCTCTTGCTGTACGTACAGTCGTCCGAGTCCGAGGCCTCGTACAACATCTGCAGCAGTTTGACCAGAACGCGGTTGACGGTGGCCCTGTGGTCAGAGTCCAAGTTCCTGTTTCCCCGCGTGTGCAGTAGTCGCTTGACCAGCGTGTCCACGTGTAGCAGCTCGGACTCCACCAGCCGGAACAACAGCTTGGTGTAACACATCAGGGTCTCCATCTATGGGGGCAGGATGAAAGTAAGGACAGATCAGTGATCACAGCCAACACAACAATAGATGAGGTTCTGTTTTGTTTTAGTACCAAGAGTTTAGTTTGAGTAAGAGTTTTACGGCATTTGCAACACAATAAGGTCATATAAGTGCCGAAGATTAGAGGAGTTACAAGAGAGTAACAAACACAAAAAAGAAGGAGGGGAGATACAGACAATAGATTTTTTTATAGGAAAGAAGAAGCAAACCACACCAGAGCACCCGCCAACCACCCACTTAGCAAAAGTTTTACAGCACTTGCAACAAAATAAGGTTGTATAAGTGTTGAAGATTAGAGGTGTTACAAGAATGTAAAAGACACCCAAAAAAAAAGAGATAAGGACAATAGATGATTGATAGGAAAGAAGAGCAAACAACACCAGAGCATCCGTCAATCCCCTACTTTCAGTAAAGACAAACACAACAGCTGTCCTTGATTTCAGTGAAAGAGGGAGACACACAGACAGGAATGATAAAAGTAAAGAAAAGCAGGACCTACCAGTGGTGCCCTCCAACCACCTGCAACACCAGAGGGAGAGGGCAAACAGAGAGACAGGCAAGACACTACACAATATAAACACACTACACGTTTGAGTCTCACTTTTGGCCCATCACTACACACAATAATTATGAATCACTTTTCACACTAAACATACTACACACCCGCATCTTCCTGTGAAGGTTTGTGAAATTTGCAACCAAAAAAAACAACATTTAATAGACACAACCAATATGAGACAATGGAGAAATGCTTAGCATAACAATTAATATTGTTCTAGTGAAAATAACGGAAATAATTGGGAAAAAATGGATTCCTTCTGATCTAACTCCTGACCACTCACTTCACAGTGTACACACAACACACTACACATCTGTGTCGCATAGCTGGCAAATCACTGCACACAATGAACATACATATGAGTCTCACACTTGGTGAGCTAATATAATACACAATAAACACACAATACACTACACAGCCTTGGCCAATTATTAATACACAATAAACACAACACACTACACACCTTTGGTCAATTATAAATACACAATAAACACACAGCACACTACACACCCTTAGCCAATTAATCATACACAATAAACACACACACCAACACAATACACACCTGTGTCTCACTCTTGGCAAGCCACTGCACACAGTGGACAGACAGAAAGTTCATCACTTTGATCTTCATGCGCTTCTTCTTGTGCACATACTCCGACAGTCGCGTGGTCACCTGGTTGTCCTCAGCCTCCCAGGTTCGACACTGCCGGCACAAAATGATGAACGATGTCTCTGTAGCCTCAGTCCAGTTGTGAGGAGCGTCCACCACTGGGAACACACAAAGGGACAACAGTCACAAAAGGCAGGCCATGTTTCTTCACACAAACTTGTTTTTGTAAGTGTTTTAAGGCACTAGCAACACAATTAGGTCAAGCAGGTACAACTGTACACTTATAACACTGAACGATGGTTTAGATCTGAATAAAGCTACATACTTACTGTACTTCATAAAATAATGCCATATTCTTACCACACTAAATGAAAAAATTTCCTCTATGACCCGAGGATTTAATGTACCTAGTAAACTGAACGATACAACTCGCCGTTGTGCATAAAGATACATACTTGGTGTACAAAATGATGCTCATCATCATCATCCAGTGCCAGATCTGCGACAGACATCGGCGATCATGATTTTCCATTCATTCCTTTGCTCGGATGCTTTCAGAAAAGCTACATTTCCCTGATCTTTCCCTGTTGCCCATTTGTTTCGGTTCCCTAAGTATGTTGTTCTGGGCCTACCCCTGCCTCGCTTGCCCTCAATTCTGACAGTGAGAGCTAGATGTTCAAGACCCTTATGTCTATTCAGGTGTCCCAAAAACTGCATTTGTCGTTTCCTGATTGTTTTTAACACTGAGCGTCTCAATGATGCTATACATTAAAATTTACTGTAGTAAATGAAGATATGTACTCAGTGCACTTAAAATGATGAAATGTAATAACTATACTGAAAAATGTGAAATGTACTAACAGAACTGAACAATGAGATGTATACTTTCTATACTGAATGAAGAGACACACTTGGTGTACATAAAAACAAGAGATAAACTTACTGTATGGAAAAATAAGAGATGAACTTACTATACAAAATAATAAGAGATGCACTTACTGTACTGAATGATGAGATGCATGAGGAAGTTTGACATGACATAAAAGGCAAAGTCCATGGTAATCTGGAAAAAAAAAAGAACACGAGTAAAAACGTGAGGTTTAATTGAGATGAAGACATGCACATTGACATATTAATGATTATTTAGAGCAAGGAACAGGTAACAGGGAAACTGAAATAAGGGAGGGGGGTACGGGCTATACTATTCCATCATTTGCAAAAATGCACAGGGGGTGGGAAGCGCTGCACATTATGAACGAGTCTGTCCATTAAACAATCTCATACCTTTTGTCCAGCAATCTTGCAAAAATTAACAACACTAGCTATAAAGTCACCTAAAACTACAAAATGGTTGATGTCAATTGCCTATTGGGGGGAGGGGGAAAGTAAATAATAGGGACCTCATAACCTACTTCAGAGAGAAATACAATCTATTTTAACTTGTATGCCTCAAATTGTTTTATAACATGGAAGTTGCAAGAAGACAGGAAACAAACCATTTTTTTCTCGAGGCACGCTGTGAAGTCTCGGATAAGTTTGAGTAAATCAGCCTCGTCAGGTCGGGGGCCAGGCGTGAGGGCATTGATGTACCAGATGCCATGCGACTGACACAAACAAGGGAGAGAAAGAGAGATTGTAATGTCACATTTTTTTTCTTTTATCTTTTTCTTTACCACACTTGTTCTAACTTTAATTTTTCAAGAGTTTTACGACACCACTAGCAAAACAAATAGATTATGCATAAGAGCCAAAGAATAGAGGTGTTGGTGAAGAGTAAGTAACATACTAAGAAAAGAAGGAGAGATAAGGATGATAGATGTTGATAGGAAAGAAGGAGCAAACCACAGCTATACACTGGACAGCAGCAGAGTTCAAGTCAACGTGAGCAAGGCAACACAATTTTTTTTAAAGTTTTGCTGCAAACTGTTTTGGAGTCATTTAACTTTCCTTAGTTTAGTTTTAGTAAGAAATTTACGGCACTTGCAACACATATAAGTGCCGAAAATTAGAGGTGTTACAAGAGAGTAACAAACATAAAAAAGAAGGGGAGATAAAGATGATAGATGTTTGATAGGAAAGAAGAAGCAAACCACACCAGAGCACCCGCCAACCACCCACTTTAACTCTCCTGCTACTCAATGCTAAAAACACTATCTCAAATAAATCTCAAATATCATGCAAACACACAAGTATACTGAAACACATACACACACAAAGACATACATGTACATAACACACATACATCAGATACACGGACATAACTGACACAAGCACACACACACACACACACACAACCCCGGACATACTACATAGACACAATCACATGAAGACAGGCATATATGTGCTTTCACACAGATATAGAAACATGCAGACACACAGGCACTTTAGCACCGGCTTCTCACCATTGCCCTATCAATGAGATCAGAGAGTTGCTTCAGTTCCACACAGCCAGTGTCCAGGGCAGGGTGCGTGGGTTCCGCAGGTTTCTTTGAAAAGTCGTTGGGATAAAGGCTTAAGTGTCTTGGGTTGCCTCCAGCACACTTCTCAGCTTCACGGACGATGACACGGCGGAACAGAGCTGTCAACAGAACACACAGACACCAGTTGGATAGGAACTATACTCAAGCATTTCTACCACAACCATCAATAGTACAATAATAATGCTGTCGATGGCATTAGACTCTATCAGTGAAATATTTTAGTTTAGTTTAGTTTTAGTAGAGATTTTACGGCGCTCACAACTGCATAAGGTTATATGAGCGCCAGAAGACTAGAGGTGTTACAAGAGAGTAACAAACATAAAAAAGAAGGAGTGGAGATAAGGACGATAGATGTTTGATAGGAAAGAAGGAGCAAACCACACCAGAGCACCCGCCAACCACCCACAGTGAAATATTTCTATACCAATTCTTTGCACCAGCTCTCCCAAATGACCACAAAAAGTCGTAAGAGAATAAGAAGCAAAACTACATTAAGCTTCCCCGAAAGTATACAGTCTAGGACATGTTTTACCCATGCCACTGACAAAACTTTCATTTGTCTTTCTTTGTCTGTAAACTAAAACATTTTGTCTAACTATAATCACACCCTTATATTAAATCCGTGTGTGCGAGATTATATCCAAGACATTTTGCCCGACATAATCTAAGTCTTATCCACGAGAAGGAACTATCAAGGGCATTCTGTTTCAGTAATCTTATCCATTTGTGTGAACAAAACAAATACATAATAATTCATCGAACCACAGCTGAGCTTAGTTTTTAGTAAGAGTTTACAGCACTTGCAACATAAATAAGATCATAATAAAAGTGCTGAAGATTAGATGAGTTACAAAAGAGTAACAAACACTAAAAAAAAGGAGGACAGATAAGGAAGATAGACGCTTGATAGGAAAGAAGGAGCATACCACACCAAAGCACCTACCAACCACCCACCAAAGCTGAGAGACTGGGCCTACGACAAACAGGTTCAAATTCACATCTAATATTCAAAACAACACATGTACCTGCATTAATCTGTACCCGTGCCCACTCATGTAGCGATTTCATCGTCTTCCTTCTGGCTATGCATACTGCATTGTCCCTGATGCCCTCCTCCACATGCGACATGAGAAACTTTATCAGACTCTGGAGGTCCTGGTCCAGCACCCTATGGGGACAACAGACGAAGTAGACACAACACACCTTAGTCCAACGAGGTTTAGTAAAAAGAACATAGTCAAGATAGAGGTTATTTCTGCCATGGACAAAAATAAGATTGAGAGAGACTACAGAGGGACAGAAAAGAAATAGGATCTACCAGAAGAGCCATCCAGCCTTGCTAAACTTTAACAGCATCCTTAAACCAAAACACAACATGACAAGCACAATGCATGCCTTGAGAACAAGTGTCAAACTACCTAACTAAGGATCATTTCTTTTTACTTTCCTCAGACTCCTCCACATTGATGACAAAGGACAAGCGGAGGACAGAGAACAGAAGGGATATTGTAACAAAACTCTCTTTCTCTCTCAGTGAGCCGTGTGTGCCTGCGTGTGCATCCCACTTATATCCCTCAGATGGAAAAGAGAAATAAGAAAACAGAAACATGAACCTAAATGACAAAATGGGACACAATCAATAGCACAAAGTGTTCACCTTTCTGCGATGTTCTGGAAAGTTCTCTCAGCTCTCCTGCAAAATTTGCCTGCTTTGATGTTCACAGTGGTCTTGATATTGTTCTGGAAACAACCAAAGTAAAAAACTTTGTCACAATATTCAACATGTCAATTCTAGATTCTAGTGGAAATGGGTCAATCATTCTTTTTCCCTGAAGAACAATACAGCTCTCTAATTTTGTGTACAAAACAACATTATTTGCGCCCCCCCCCCCTCCCCAGTGTAAAGAAAAGCGCATCAACATGATTGCGATCATTTACTGTAGGGAAAAATTATGACAGATACAAACAAAGAAAATATGAAAGACCAACAAGTGCCCTCTAAGCTCCAATTAATAATTTTTCCACGAGTGTCAGATACCAGGGGGTCAACAACAGAACTCCAGACAACAACACTTGCTCACAGAACCACAAAAACTAGACACCACAACATGACACTATACATCTGATTCAACCTTCTGATATACAGGAGACTTGGGGAGATAAAACAGAGACCAAAACGATAGGGCATAAATTTTCTAAAACAAGATTTTTTACAACAGTATGCTGTAAAGCAGAATCAAATACCCACCTGTACACAGCTGCACCAAGTTTTTTTCAAATGTTTTTCTGTTCATTTATACCAAATTAGAGTTAGAGATTCCGTGCTTGACAAATTAAATCGGTTAAAACCTCTCCATAACATAGATTGTCTGGGAGATAGCCCATCAGAGCCCAATATCATCAATATGCCTCCTGTATGTTACCTTCAGTCTTTCAACATCATCGCCCTGGTCCATCTCCTGGAACTGTCGCCTGACCAGGACCTTGGCCTCAAACACAAGGTAAGGCAGGATGCTCCGGCAGGCGAAGTCCTGTACTTTGGAGGCCACAAGCTCCGAGGCTGAGTCAATACTGCTTAGCAGAAACTTGTCACCTGCCATGAAGTTCTTCTCCAGGTCCTCCTGTAGAAAAACATAAATAGAAATTTCTTATCTCGTCTCTGACAATGAAAGTATAACCCAGGCGTGGATAAATAATGATTTTTATCAAAATCAAGTTTTCACGACAATATTCCTAGACAAATAAAATAACAAAAAAGACTGAACTATGTCACATCTTTGAGGCATGTCATCACCATCTCAAACCAATTCTTGTGATAATAGAATAACAGTATACCTATTAATATTTTTAACAAGATATAAAAATGAGACATTCTTCACACAAAACTTGCCGTTGTAAAGACACCAGGGAGCCAGCACAGGTCAAACTTACTATAATTTCAGCACAGATAATCTGCTAAATGTTTTGTCTATGATTTCCATTTTAAGGAAAAAAATTTAAAAATTTGTGATCTTTTTATGGTACACTCACACTGTCATCATCTTCCTTCCTAGCCAGCAGACGTGTGAGCACATAGGCCGGGACCACTTCATCATCAATCACCAGACTTCTCCCGCGCTGCTCCACCTCTCTGGACAAGCTGTCAGACACAGAAAGTTTTGTATTGCTTGAGTACAAAAAGGTACCTTGACACGATAACGGTTATTTAGTGCTGGAGAAAAGCAGGGAAGACAGACAGAAACAACAGAGGGAAGGGGAAAAAAAAAAAGACCTACAAATGGCACCCGCCAATAGCCTATAAGACACACAGAGTGATCACACTTAGTGTCAGAGACAAATTATATTCTGTTAACAGCTGGGACTTGCGGCCACTATCAGGTTGATCACCACAGCTCGTTCACAGACGCAGACACATGACTACAAAAATTTGCAATTTTGCAACAATAGGAACTTGTCAAAAAGTATTACTAACAAAGGTTGCCAACTTATCATGTCAAGCTGGTAAGGCAGCAACCAAAGAGGTCGTGAAAAATCTCTAAAATGTGAAAAGTACAGAGAACCTGGAATGATATAGGGATACTTAATTAAGCTAGTTCACTGAGAGGAAGACAGGAAGTGTGTACATAGAAAAATTGAAATTGAATACTTGATCCAACTGCCATCCTAGACAAAAAAGTAATATGTTGTTCAGACTACACAAATTTGAATGTCAAATGGCATTAGTGTCACAAAGACCTAGCAAAGCTTTGTTACAATGAAGAGGGAACAGCTGAAGGAATGGGGACACAATATTAGGAAAAAATACCACAATTTGAAAGCAATCTATACCCCCCCCCCCCCAACCATTCCCCTCACAATAACCAGAAGAGACTTCCACAAGGAATCTGGAGTTGCAGTTGAGTTGTTGTGTTCAAATCACCATGGTAACAGACACATATTGCCAGGAACAGATTAAGACAATAGTAACAACCGAACAGATGGAGTAGGCCTCAAAGAGCACCAGGTAACAACCTGCTTGAGTGACTTATAACAAAAATCAACAGTTTTATGGCACTTGCAACACAAGTACGTCATAATAGTGCCAAAGACTAGATGCGTTACAAGAGAGTAACCTGGAGAGAAAAGGAGGATAGATATTTGACAGGAAAGAAGGAGCCAACCACACCAGAACATTCGATGGAACCTTGTGCATAACAATAAAGATGCTTTCACACTGAACATACAGATGTACACAACAACTGCCACCCATGCCAGCTACAGCCACCAGATACGTCGACTGAACTTCATCCTTACCCAGTCCCAGAGCTCTTGTTGGTAGAACCAGTCAGTGAGGAGCCCAGCCACGCTTCAATCTCTGCCCTGTCACTGGCACGGCCACCTGCAGGGGCTGGCTCCAGGTCAGACTTTTGCCCAATGTCGGGCAGATGAAACATGCCCACCGTGCCCTTACCTGTCGGCCTCTGCTTCAGGGCAAAGAACGTGAGGAGAACCTGACCTTGTTCTGTGAGGAAGAAAGAGACAAACATGGTAAAATCATCCTTACTGGCAATAAAATTCACCTTTGTTGTTTGTTTTAGTAGAGGTTTTACGGCACTCGCAACTGCATAAGGTCAAATGAGCGCCAAGGGGTGGATGTCAACAAAGAAGTCCAAACAGGTTTACTCTGCTCACCTCTCTAGCCTCAACAGCACAAAGTCTGTTTCGACTTTCAAGGCACCCCGGAAATAGCAGTTCATAAGTGAGTGACAAACATACAAAAGTAGAGGAAAATGACGAAAGTAAGGATGAGGAAAGAAAAAGCAGCAGTTCCCCCTATGTTGTTCCAGCACAGTATGAGCATGACATTGATAAATCGGCCCATTTACAATTCTACTGTGCATAAGAACATGTCAATATCCCCCCTTTGAAAATGGCCTAAAGACACTTCAGTCAGTAACACTGCCCTAGGGGAGCACACTCACCTCATTCTGTGACATGTGAATAAATAGACAATAACTTTGGTAGGCAAACACACCCATTTCTGTGACACAAGTGAACAGATAAATCATCCCACTGGTAATCAGTTTAGTTTTAGGAGAGCTTTTACGGCGGTCGCAACTGCATAAAATCATAAGAGCGCCAGAAGATTACAGGTGTTAAAAGAGAGTAACAAACATAAAAAAGAAGAAGGGGAGATAAGGGCCATAGATGTTTCATAGGAAAGAAGAAGCAAACCACACCAGAGCACCCGCCAACCACCCACACTGGTAATCAGACATGCCTCGTTCTATGAGACACGTGAAAAAACTAAACAATCACACTGGTCGTCATATACACCTTGCTCTTTGAAACATGTGAACACACAAACCACCACATAGGTAGTTATATGTATACACCTTTTGTTTGTTTGCTTGTGAGAGTAAAGACAAGCACAGCATAAAAATAATGATCATTAAGTGTAGAGAAAAAGTAAGACACTTAAAAAGCAGACCACAACAGAGTACCCATCAACCACCCACAGGCAGGCACCGTACAACCACCCTCCAGATCTGTGATACACAGGAACAAAGAAACAATCACAGTGTTGTCACATATACAGTAATGTTGGAAATGAAGCACATGGCTCCACAGACATCCTCTGAAAACACCCATGGAGGACACTCCACAGACATCCTCTGAAAACACCCATGGAGGACAAAGCTCCTTTTAGGATGAAGACGCTCATGATCATTAAGTGCAAGGAAAAAGAAAGAGCTATAAAGAGAAATAACAGTGAGAGTTAAAAAGTTAGACCTAACAGAGGCACCCTTCAACCAACAACAACCCACTGAGGATAAATTTAAGTGCCAGAAGAATTTTTTTTCTTAATTTCAGGAAGAGTTTTACAGCATTTGCAACATAAATATTTCACAGAAGTGCAGAATATTAGAAGTGGTACAAGAGAGTAACAAACAAAGAAAAGAAGGAGGAGAAATAAGGACAATGGAGGTTTGATGGCAAAGAAGGAGTAAACAACACAAGCGCACCCGCCAACCACTCACAGGGCCAGATAAAAGGCTGACACTGATAGAGATGGTCTTGCTCTCTCGCAAATGTGACTGACATGACAGGTCATATGAAGGTATATAGAAAATAAAGCAAGAGGGAAGGAACCACTCACCAAGGTAGGGGCAGCAGGAGGAAAGCAGTCGCTGAGACACTAATTTCTGGCAATCCTGGTAAGACAAAAACCATAAACCAATCACTACTCAGCTTGCATAATCACTACTTAGCTTGCATTCAGAGGGTCAACATCTAGACAAAGCAAAATGGCTGACGGATTGCCAAGTAATAGATACACAACATAGTTCTACTGAACTAAAACAGTGTTAAAGTTTCCATAGCACAACACAGATCAACTGAAATAAAGCAGTATTGAAATTTATAATGCACAAAAAAGATCTACTGCACTAAACCAATGCTTATGTCTTCGTGTTTTGACATCTGTTTCTAAGGCAGCTATCCATAAATAACAGTGCACCTTCAAAGACAACAAAAATCATTAATTATGTTCGAAACCAGGGGAAAAGTGAGCTCAAAGCTAATCATTATCCACAAATCAAATGGTGTCATAACCCACCAATAATCTTAAAGGAATGTTCTACATTTTCTTTCTCTGTTTGACTGCTCTCAAAAAACATTTACTATCTTGGTCTTTTCTTGTCATCTGTATGACCTACTATGTGCAATAAAAACTACTGACAAATAATCGCACTATGACCTTTGAAAAAATATTTTTAATAAATGCATCTACCAACAATCTTACAATGTGGAACGGCTTGCAATTAGTTCTGACACCATGAGCGTCACTCGTCACGTCACCCAGGGAGAAGAAATAACCGGATGGTACAGCTGGACTCTGAGGGCGACAGATACAACACACACACATAAAAGGTCAGACATTAGCTATATGAACATAAAGCAGTCAACATTTAGGTATTAGGTATTTAGGCAGATTTACAATATTTGCTTTTACTTGACAGTCAAGAGACAAGTAATCAAGTACACACTCTTTAAGAATGATTCTGAACAGCTTGACTAAATCCAAGGGTCACAGCCTTGATGACTGTGAGCGGAGTAGAAAGTTACAGCATAACAGAAATAACAAAAGGGAAATGATTTATCTGTATAATGAAAAACACATTTCATGGAAAAACATGTAATTTGCCAATCATTTCTGGACAAGTGAGAGAGCAGAGACAAAGTGCAGTGACATAATGACCAACAAGGCACTTACCTCAAAGAGCCAGCTGATGCAGGAGACCACAAGGAGGCCAGAGTTGCTGTGGCCTTGTTTATACAGATTCTCCCACGCATACCTGTACCCATGAGCAAACACACAAAGGGAACATGAATCACAAACGTTTACAATATAGACATTTTAATCTACCATTACAAAAAATACAACTAACCTGGACATAGCGACATGTGAGTCAATGTCGTTTCACTCACATTTGTCAAATATAGGCATCCATGTTACCAGTCATAGACACCTGAGACATATGTTCTCATTCAATTATGTAAGAACACTTTGAGTAAACAGTTCAGACAACACACAAATGAGTTCACACACGCATGCACGCACACACATTCACAGTGTTTTTCATCAGACTCATGACAAGGTAGACAAACAAACTAGATAAACAAGAGAGATGAATCTTATTATACTCCTCTTCCTCACAGTATACTAGACGGACAACTTAGGGAGCATTTAACACTAAACTCTTCAGATCACTGCAAAAATTATAATTGTAAGTGTTTAACCACTACTGACACAATTATAAAGCATTTATGGAGAGGGCTTCATCCGCTCTCTTGATCATGCTGAGTGGGATACGTGATACACCATCCTAAAAGACAGACAAAGATATTCAATATTAACTCGATTTGACATGTGGTCCCTTCATTGACTTTCACACCACTAACCTTTGAATGAAGTGCAACCTCTTCAGGAGAGCCGCGTAAATGGAGAGCTGAGGTGCCAGTTTGTCCATCATAGCCAGATATTCCACCAACCAGGGTACAGTCAGGCTCAGGTGACCCTGGTCAAATGCCTGCTTCAGCAGCAATGGCAGAGGAACGGGAAGCGGGGTCTGGGGGAGGAGGGTCAAACAGTTTAAGGAAAGACTGCCGGCCTTGTAAACAGCAATTGCTACAGATATTATTTTCTAGTTTCCATGTCTTCCATACATAATGCAAACAAGATTGTTGGATTGAAGAAGAGCAGATCAATAAAAGCAGGTAAATAGCAAAGCGACAGACAACAGTAGAAAAGAAAAGAAATAGATCCTACCAGTAGCACCCCCCCCCCCCCTCCAACACACACACACAATGAAAAGTGAAAAGACTTTTGTACAATTTCAACTATTTGTTCAAATGAAAGCCAATACAGACCATTTGACATCAGCCAACGACTGACCTTGGAGGAGAGATTTTTGTTTGAATTTAAGAAGAAAGAAGTACATCAATACAACGATGATTAGTCAGTGCAAGGAACAAGCAAGACAGATGGACAGAAACAAAAGAGAAAAAGAAAAAGAAATAGGTCCTCCATGCGGTAGCCAAACTACCATTATAATTGACCACTCCACATTTCAAATAAAATGGAAAGGGGAGGACACATAACTGAGCAGCAAGACTCCTCTTTTTAAGCAATTTCCTTACAGTTGCTGACAGTAGGAGATGACGACTCCCCCACTTTCCCATTCTGTATTGTGAAACTGTCTGTGTGCGTGTGTTTGAGAGAGAGAAAGAAATCAAGACCCTGACACAACAATCACAAGTCTCACCATCTCTCTGATGTTGATCATCATTGCTGATTGCTCTGGGGGCAGGTCCTGTGGCTGGTTGCGATGCATGGAGAAGGTGAGATAACCCAACAACCTCCCCAGTACACACAGTGACAGCACAGTTTCTGTGAATTTCTCAGTGCGCACTGGAGTCTGGGGATGCACATAGATATACACCTTACATGAAACACCAATACAGCAGACACATTAAATAAATGTCTTCTCAACACACAGGACATACAATACATACATATTACATGCATTAACCAAGACAAAACTATTGATAAAAGCGACAAATGTTGTCTAGGCAAATCACCAGAAATCTTTTTACTGTCAATGATAAAAGTGCTTTAGAAAAGACAGGCACAATAATAAACCACCAGAAAACTTTGAACAACACGTATCGTGCAAATCATTTGACTATCTTAAGAACCTGTCACATTTTAAAAATATACAAACTGTGGATCAGTAGCCACAGTGATTTTCCTTTTGGGTGTGCGTTCTTTTGTCAGAACATTCTTGTTGATATATTATAAGTGCATCTGTATTTGAAACGATTGTTGTACATTGGTGAGCATGAAACGTGTCATCGTGTAAGCTGTCAAAATTTTATTTTATTATGAAGTGACCCTAGGCACTTAAATTGTGAACTGCCTACAGCCACTAGGGGATGAGCACTACAAAGTGATCTTTTTTATCATTATTCTATCATCTCAGTGACACTGTAACCCAACAGGCCCCAGAACTGACAACTCACATCACTCTCTCCAACAGTCACAGATGAGTGAAGATTCAGTACCGAATCAAACGTCTGGGAGTTGAGCTGGGGACAAAATAAAACAAATTGGTAATAAGGAAGAAATGAAAGAAGCAATTCTTTAAGAGGAATGTCCAACATAATAGACAGAGTGAAAATGAAGGCTACGATTTGCGCTTAGGACTTCGTCACATAAGAATGCACAAATAATAAAATTCTTAAAACACGTTAAAAGCATGAAATTAATCCAAAAATGTATACGAATACATGTACTTCCTATTTTCTTTACAATCTAAATTCCAGTTCCTGATAGTGCAAGTGTCCACAGTTCACTCCACGTACCTGCAGTATCCTGGCCACTACAAGGCAGCGCAAGTGCTCATTGAAGGCAGGACAACTCAGGGTCTCTACAAAGTCTGGAAAAAACATTTGCTGATCCGAGAAGCCCGGGGATGGGCAAGCCGAGCCTGAGGTCACACTGAACAGTTCCATGAAGGCTGCGTACAAACTGCCAAAACAATTGATCCAATTGACTATCATTCATTGTGCTCTATGACAAAAATTAAAACACATATACATTCATAACTTCAGGAACAAATACTTCATAAGATAGAAAACAATAAACAATGTATATACAAAAATCACTGCCAGTCAGCTGTCCAAATGACAAGGCCAAGCCTTGATAGACACTATTTGACTTAAGAAAAGAAAGTAAAACACACAAACCAGTAAGATAAGCAAATGGGAATGGCTGGGAAAAGAAAAACATTTGTAAATATTGAATCTTGAAGGAAGGAGAGGCACATCCACAAACAGCAAAATATACACGGCTGAACAGAAAATTATTTCAATTTACAATAATCAACAACACATAGAATAACCAAATGTGAACCCACTATAACACTAAACCATCAAGGCACTCAATCTAAACAAAAAGACCAAAAACAAGAAAGACCCCCCCCAAACCCTCTATGACAAATGTAAACTTCCAAAAATGAGACTTTCCATGCGCACACAACTTTTTCTCTTGTTTTAGTAGACATTTTACGACGCTCGCAACTGCATAAGGTCATATGAGCGCCAGAAGATTAGAGGAGCTACAAGAGAGTAACAAACACAAAAAGGAAGAAGGGGAGATAAGGACGATAGATGTTTGATAGGAAAGAAGAAGCAAACCACACCAGAGAACCCCCCAACCACCCACACGTTTTCTCTTATGTTTGTCGCACGATCAATAGAGCATAGTCAACTTTACCTGTTAAACTGCTCCTCATCTTGACCTCTACTTCTGATCATCTTGAAAATGTCTACCTTTTCCCCTGCTTGCTTCACACAGCACTGGGGGAAAAGAAAAAAAATTGATTAACAAACAATTTAATACATATACTCTAAAAGCTTACAAATTTGACTACCAAAGTCTGGCCTCATGTTGTCAACATAAAGCATTAAAAAATGGAAAGAATTGTTAAAAAGGGTTTTTTTACTTACTAGAGGACAAAATGACAATGGTAAGCAGCATCACATCCACACAACAGAAGTCATACAATTTGTGAGTTTTTAATTGACACAATATTGGCCAATTAGGGCCGTGAAATAGTAAGAGTCACAGACAGAAATAGCAAAGAAAAAAGATCAAAATCCTACAACAAATAACTTTAGGAAAACACGTAAGCAGAGTCTGTTCCCCCGCCTCTCTTTTCCCCACACTGACCAGCAGCATGTGGTCCAGGAAGAGCCTGGCCAGGTGCATGAGGTTCACCACCGAGTTCTGCTCAGCCGTACTCCCGTCATACACGTACAAGATCTGGTTTTCCATCTTGAACTCATATGCGCTACTGGTGTCGTGGTAGTGGCGGTAAAACGCATAAAAATTGTCCCTGAAACATAGATCAAGACCAAAAAAAAATTTTTTTATTGACATCTGAAGAGAAAATACAATTACAAAGGAGTCAAGACTGCCCATCATTTTGACTTTCAAAACAAAAGAACAGCACATGCAGTTCTGATACACACATAAATGACAAGCAATTATGTTTTAAAAACATGCAAGGACCACACAACAATAAAATAATAAAATAATGCAAGCAAGAAATGGCTACAAAATCAGAGTAAAACCAAAGCAAGCGCTGTGCATGTTCACAAAGAGTAGATGAGACAACCTCTTTGGGCCCCCGCTCCTAAAAGTATAAAATGAGTACGCAGCTTATTCTCCTTACCGTTGACACTTGAACACGTGAGCATAGTTGGTATCAGGGAAGCTCAAGATCCCGTCATGTAGTGGATCAAAACTTGTGTGGTCCATTTGGGAAGGCACCACATAGTCCTGGCAGGACAATCAGATAAAAATGAGAAGGAAGCCAAGACTCTTGCACAAAACTAACAACAGTCAGACAAAAACATGAAAGAAGCCAAGGACTTAGCGACAAAACCGATTGCAGTCGCACAAAAACATGAATGAAGTCAAAGATTTAAAACAGTAACCGCTTCACCCACCATAAATTATCATAGTAGAAGCTGAAAAATATTGCGATAGCAACTAGGCATATTGATATAGTAAATGAGACGATTAAATGATGAACAACTGACCACCACTCTCTCCTTCAGTGCTCTCTCAACACAGGCCTGCAGGGATGGAGAAAATATGGCAACCCTCGGGTTGTCAACCAGGAGCTCCAAATAAGCTTTGTCCAATGACAGGAACAACCTGGGAACAAGGAGTTAGTCACAAATCACACAGAGTTCACAAGTAAATGCAGGATATATATGTTTTAAAACCACCAAATCAGCACAATTTACATAATTTAGGGGGCTAGCTACTTTTACCCTACCTGTTAAAGCCAATTTGGGTGGCGAGATGCTCAATAAAATATCATCACATCATCTACAGGCAAGGAGAGAAACTACTTACTATACCACAGACGAAAATGTGGATAAACAAAAAAAAAAGCAAACTTTTTCTATTAAAATGAAAATGTGTCAATGACACAAAGGCCTCGCAACTTATGAACTAAGCCTTACCTCTTAAGGCGCTCCAGGACTCTCACAGCAAAGTAAACACCATTTGGGACCGAACAGAACACACATTCGCCATATATACTTTCTGTTGATAAAATTCAAAACAATCAGTCAATAAACTAATCTCATAAGGTTAGTTGCATTCAAAGGAGAAGATACAAAGAGTAAAATTACTCTCATTCTACTGCTGTCATTTGAAACGTCAAAGATCACACTACAGACTTGATACTGTTCCATTCCCAATAACATCTGTAACATAAAATTTTGCACTGAGCTATCATTATCAAGATTCTTACAAGTTACATTATGCAGAACAAACCAATCAACCTTTTAGCCACAACCCATGTTTGAAATGCGTCAAAATCTACCTGACATATGTGAGATGCATTGACAAAATGAGTTACTTCTTGGATTTCAGTCTGATGGACATATATAGAAGATAATTTAAATCTATAGGTCGAGTTGGTATAATCTTTAAGTTTGAAATGATAAAAGACATGTTAAGCCAGAAGAAATGGCATCAGTAGAAACTCAATTTTTGCCACAAACCCACTTGCTACATCACCTTTCAATCAATCTTCAATATGAGTCTGAAATACACCTTTTCTTCTCTGTCTCCTCATCCCCCCCCCCCCCCCCCCCGAAACCCCACCACAATTTGTACCTATTCTGTTAAGTGCATCTGTGTCAAGCTCTGTAGCCGTTAGCAGCTGGATGATGAAGTACAGCTCCACAGCCACGTTTGGCACCTGGTGCTCTGTGGAGAAAACAGGAGCAATTACTGAGGATGACACACAGAACACACATGGTCTTGGGGACACATGAACACATGGGGGTGATTTGAGGGAAGAGAGGAGTCTACACATAGGAAACACATGGGTGGTTTGGGGGAAAAGAAGAGTCTACACATAGGAAACACATGGGTGGTTTGGGGGAAAAGAAGAGTCTACACATAGGAAACTCATGGGTGGTTTGGGAGAAAAGAAGAGTCTACACATAGGAAACACATGGTCTTGGGGAAGAATGAGAGAGAAGTCCACACACAGGAACACATGGGAGGTTTTGGGGGTAGAAATGAGTCTGCACACAGGTACACAAATGGTCTTGGGGGATGTACTACAGACTGACGGTCAGATGCTGCAGTAAGATTCAACTGCGAAAGACATTTTCTTAACAAATGAGTACAATCAGCAGATGTATATTATATGTGTGTGTGTGTGTGTGTGCCTGGAGAAAGGCCCCAGTTGTTAGAAATTTTGGATATTGAAATAGGAGCATATTCTAGGGGTAAATTCAATGCTGAACACGCTGATTTTTAAATTTTCAAATATCTTTAGTAGTTTTAAAGAGATATGCCAAATTTTGTAATACAGGGTGTAAAAACAAAGTTTCGAGAAAAATGTCTTTAACCGTAGTCTGCTGACTCAATTTCTAGCACATTTTTAACCTTTGGTGAAGTACATGTTGCAGAAATAATAAATAAAAAAACATTCACACTTAAAATATTACAAAATTCTTCCAACATATTATAAAGAAATGGTTAAACGTGCATTTTCTGGTGGAACTAAATCTTTGACCAAGTACTCAAAAAAAATGGAGACGTAAGCAGATCATAAAAAATATTCCGCCGCTGTCAGGTTTCAAACCAGGGACATATTGAATGAGAGACAAACAGTGTACCTCTGGACCACGAGAGCCCCCTTGTCTAGGACAGGTGCCGTTAGAACAGGTTCAACTGTGCATGAAACATATACAGAGAAAATCTACATTTATAAAAGAAAAACAAGGCTTGGGAACTGCCTTACCTTCAATGAAATAGCAGTAGCGTCGGGCATATTTCGTGAGCTGTTGCTTGCAAGTGACCAAAGAGGGCAAGACTAGGTCACCAGAGACTTCTTTGTTGGCTTGGAGACTATTGCTCTGAACACACGCCTTTTCCCCACTCCCCTCTACCTTGGCCTGGTCATCACCCTCCTTCACGCTAGCCTGGTCAACATAAGTCTCAATGCCAGGCTGGTCAACACAGTTCTCCACTCTGGCTTGGTCTTCAACACCCTTTACAGGGGCCTGGTCAACGCCCATAGTCACCTTTCCACTTATCGGCGGGCAAGAGGTGGCGAGCTCAGGCTTATCAGCTCCTGCCACGTGTGCTGTCTCATGATGCATCGTACTGGGGAATTTGTACAAGCACAGGATCAGCATCAACTGCACAATATCAAAATTGAAAAATACAAAACTAAGATGAACAACTGCATAAACTCAAGACCAAAACCGTACATATGAAAATAAAACCTCCATACAGCATAATTTACACTGACAACTGACAGCTCCCTTGTTGTGACATCTAACAAGAAAGGAGTCTGAGACATCAATTCACTGTTCAACGTTGGTGATGGTCAGTCCTACATAGCCATCAGAATTGTCACAGCTCTAATTCAGACCACTTGGATCAAACAGGAATCTACTTAAAATATTTTCCTATCATTCTATTCTCCTCATATATTTACATGATTTGCCTATTGTTTCCCTGCACTTTACTAACAATGGTGATTATAGTCTCACAGCGTGTTGGCTAAAGGAGAACAGGATAATAAAGTCTTTTATTCAACATTAGCCCAGAGCCAGGACTCGAAGTGGTCACAAAAACAAATTCTTTACACACAAGCAGGACAACAATGAAACACATACAGACAGTAAACACAACAGCCATGAATGGATTTTAGAGCAGTGAGCCCATTAATCATAAGCAGAACCTCTGAGACCCAAAAACGATCACAGGAGAGGAGCTCTTTAACACTCACCTCTTTGACGTCGGACTTGAGCTTTTCACTGGCCTCAGTTCCCAAAACTGCTTAGCTTCAGAAAGGCTTGTCTCTGTCGGTGTATAGTCGTCTTCACCTTCGTCTTCATCTTCAAACACATCTTTGCCATTGGCCTCTTCTGTCATTAACTTTTCCAGAGAACACACAAGCTTTAGATCAATCTCCTTCACTGTTTTGTCTTTGAGAACCACCTGGCTCCGTTTGCTGGGATTAGTTTTACACACACCAGGTTCATCCAGTGGTCGGTCTGTGCCTTCACGATCACTCAACAACTTTTTCAAACTTTTCAACTGTTCAACACTACCTGCCAGGGAATCTCCACCATCTCCACATACTGACACAGAACCCAAAGGGGTTGGAAGATCTGCTTTCTGATCGGAAAAACTCAGTCTTTTAATAGGTGACGGTTGAATCTTCTTAGGGGGTGAGGTTGGGTTAGCCTTCAAGTCCTCCATGAAACGACTCTTCAACAAGATCATATCCTTTTCATTTTTCGGTAATGAATTTTTCCCCTTCCCCTTCTGAGGTTTTGGAATGAAGTTTTCCAGTGTCAGAGGTTGAATTTTATTGTAGTTATTGTTGTTGCTGTTTCTCTTCCCAGACCTCTGAGAACCAGCCACTGGCTTGCACTCTTTGGCGTCTCCATGGATCGTATTTAAAGTCCCAACTTTCTTCCCCTTGCCTCTCCGCAGTTCATTTTGACTTTGCTCAGCCAAAACCTCCCCTGGAATGGGCGAAACAGAAGGTGAAGGTTGCGACACCATATGAGAGGATGAAGAGTCTCCAACAGAGGCCCGGGATACCCTTGGTTGGGACTTTGTGGCCAGGTCACCAGGATTGATATCATGGTTCTGGGCAGCCAGAGGGGAGGTGACACGAGAGGCAGCCCCATGACCCCAGGCCCCAGCATATCCTGCTACAGAAGGAGAGCTGTTCCGGGCGTTGTGCGGCCACTCTTGCAGGGGACTGGCTGGCGAATCTCGACACTTCCCGCTGACCAGTAAGCCAGAGCCTTGTAGTGATGAGGAGCTAGTGGTCCCTCTACTCCACGCAGACTGACTCACTAGCTGCGACGGAGACTTATCGCCGACACCCACCATCTGCTTAGGCTCAGTGGAGGCTGCAGATAGCGGTGTCCACTTGCGTTGGTTGCCCTTTCGATGTCGCCGTTCAAGAGAGGATGAGGCTGTGGGACTGGCCAGAATTTGACCTGCTACAGGGTCACACCCACTTTGCAACATCTCTCCAGGTTGACTGCCGGTACTGTTGTGACTAGATGTCAGACTAGGACTCCCCTTCTCTGTGCCTTTTCTCATCTCACCCGCTGAATCACTCCGTACCATATCGGACCAGGATGTGGACGAGCCACGAGATGGGCTAAATTTCACATCGCCAGGTTCTTCACTCGTAGCAGACAGCCATGAAGATGACTTCAAAGGTGCACCTGAACGCGAAGTGTCAGAGCATGAAGTCTCCTGAGCCAGTGGGCTAGGACACAACTTCCTGGGTCTTCGGTATGACTGACCAGGACTGGACACAACTGCCTCTACCTGCCCTACAACACTTGGCTTTGCATCACTCAGTACAGCAACAGGGCTACCTGGTGACACAGATTCCCTCATTGACACAATACTGACTGCACGCTGCGCTCCTATGGGACTGGGTGTGACACGGTGATGTGCTGAGATAGGACTGGGCGTGTAAGTGTCCGAGGAGACTCGGCCATCTCTTTTTACAGGAGTAGAGGTCAGTAATGAGCTGTGACCACTAGACACTCTACTGGTGTCTGCCCGGTGGAGAGAACTCCTGTTGTGGCTACGAGAGTGCTCTCTGTCTTCTGCAGAGTCACCAGACCTGAGTGAATGACCAAAGCTAGACAGCTGGGACCTGCAAGGAAGGTCAAATCAAAATAAGTCAATGTATTCTCCTTTTGCTTTCAGTGTAAAATACAACACGATTTCGCACAAGAAATGATCTTTAAAGTATCAGACAAAACGTTTTACAAGAAAGTCTTCAAGATCAAATCTTTCATTAGCAATGCTGCTTTACTCCATATTAAAAAAAACTATCACTTCTTTGAAAGTACAGACAGCCACCCATTACAATGTCATTTATCAACAAGACTTAAAAGGGCACATCAAAATTATGTATTCTCATTTCAATAACAGGACAGGTCCTTTTTCATGCCGGTAGGCCCAGAAAAAAAAACACATTTAGGTCTAACAAAAGATAAAAGGGTCAGGCAGATCCAGCAAGACAGAAAAGAGAATGGTCTAATAAAACACAATAGTAGTCTTACATGAAAATACAGGTAGTTGTAGAATAATATTTGCATATTTCACTAAAGCAAGTAGATCTGGCAAAACACAGAAAGGCAACAAAATTAGAAAAGACTAGCTGGGCCCCCTTTCGATGAAAGGAATGATCAGTGCTAAAATATCAATTAAAAGTAACTGGCCTACTATATTTACACTCTACTGGAATGGGCAATAAATCTTGAGAGATGCAAAAAAATTAGGTCTAGATCTATACTCTCAAAACAAAATGCGCCTTGCGAAATATCACTTCCGGGTTTTCTAAAATTATAGAGACAGAAGCGTCGGCCTACAAAAGCGATCGGCAAAATAAAGAAATTTAGCTTTTTGCAGCAAAACTGTCTCAAAACGAAAAAAACCAAGGGCGTCATGATCTGAAAATTTTTTTAAGAATCTTTTGGCAAAAACCTCATGTCGATCAATGCAGCCATTAAAAAGCCTTTTGAATAGCAAAATTCGGCCACCACAAATAGATAAAAGATGAGCTAATCTAACAAAGAACAAGCTAGGTCCAGTAAAATACAAAACAACTCTACATTATTTCCTCTTTAAGCTTCAAAAAGGAAATAAGTAATTAATAAAATTAAATTACAATGAAAACCTTACAGCCTTATGGCAACTGATGAGGAAAAACAGTAAGTTCAAACCTCTTGAAAAAGTCCAACAGCAAAGCACCAAGTAAATTTGCACATAAGCATGATATAATCTCATCACCATCCCATTTGTCTGAGCTAAAGGATTTATCATTTTTGCATCTTTTCAAGGAGCTAAGATTCTTCTCGTCATCAGATAGATTCATCTTACTTGTCTGAGTCCAGTGATCCCAGCTCTGGGAAATCATTCTCCTGGTAGGACTGCTCCCGCCTGCGATATCCTGAGTGATCTCTGGAGCTAGAGTAGGAGGACGACTTGCGAAAAACGACACCAGGCACTTTGTCAGCCTTGCCCTTTACACCCTTAGGTTCAAAATGTCTGGAGCTGTGGCCAGAAAATGGCTTGGGCCATCTTGGGTTGGGAACATATCCATAACGCCGCTCGATGATTGCACAGGGAGGGTCTTGACCGCCTGAGAGAAAAAAAATTCAAATAGTCCAACATATACTGTACCAGTAATTCATAAGTTCATTTCTTTAGTTTTTGTTTTAGTAAGCATCTTATGGCATTTGCAACACAATTAGGTTATACAAGTGCCAAAGATTAACTCAATCAGGACCAGCCTTATTTTCGGACACAACCCCTAGGGACCAGGGTTTTTGGAGGGTTTTCAAAAGAATATTAAGTGGTGTTGTAGTTGGGTTACAATGCTGAAATTTGGCACGCTTACAGATCCAGCCTTTCTAAACACAGTGCACTTAACAAAAATCTTCTATGTTGGATTTTTTTCCCCCCACAATTTGTCAAAAATACACCCTTCTTGAGAATTTCAAAAAATTTCTTTCAGCATCCATGATACAGCCCTGGCTATATTGTTACCTATGTTCACTGTAAAAAGACCCTTGTTCGTTGAGAGTCACTCTTCTTTGGGTCACTGGAAGAAGGAATGGATCGAGTACCCGGATATGGCATCAAACATGGAAAGAATATTGGATTGGACTACTTTCTGCATTTTTATTCTCAACACGAGTTAACTCGTGATTCATACTCAGGCAATGGGAATATATCACGAGATAAGTAGTCCCCTGTGAGTTAAAGGTGTTACAAGTGAGTACAAAACACAAAAAAGGAGGAGAGATAAAGACAATAGATATTTGGTAAAGAAGGTAACAACTCAATGAGATAGACAAGTGCATTTAAAAAAAAAGAAAATAGTGAAATAAACCAAGAAAATCCTATATTTCTTTGACCATCACTTATTGGTCAGCATAATCATAGCATACTTTTTCATGCAGTTGTTTAAGCAATTATTTTTAATCTTGAACAATAATGCTGGTGATCTTTTTAATGCACCATGAATTATAGAATTCCTTTGACTGGAAAAAACACCATACCTTTGAACAACCTCTTTTTTGCCTTTGACTCCTTGTTTCTTGTATTGCCAGTTTCTCTAAGCTGTTTAGTTGGAGACGGCAAACCATGGCTGAGGCACAGAAGTGGTCTTGTCAATTCCCTCAGCTTGTTGCAGAAATGTGGGACTGTGATGCGATAGTCTGCATAACTTTTAATGTCCTCATCATCAGAAGTGTCAGGTGATGGCAGCTAATGGATCAAAGGTCAGAGAATTATTTCTAATGGCCACATATAAGTCATATATAGCAAAACTAAATAATTATGAGTTGGTGGAAGAGGAAGGAGACAGTAATGCTGCAAGTACTTAAGGATATTATTTATCTAGAGCTAGATCGCATCACTTGTGACAACAGAGCTAAAAGTTGTACTAGATTGCCAATCTAAAATCTGTAACTAGACAACATCACTTGAAAATTCAGGCAAGCTACTCACAACTCACAAGTTCTATTATAAAGATCACAGTACACACACATGAGGAAGCTACTCAAACTCACAAACTGGATTAAATGATAACACTAGTGAATAAGACAGTTATAAACAACTAGCCTCTACTAAATCCCATCATTTGTGAACAAACAAGGGAACTACCTACCTATAACTCACATGAGATACGAAGACCATCTAAGTCTTAGAGATATAACTGGCAAACAGACCTTCCCTTTGACTGCACCAGATATCAGACAAGAATTTCTCAACTTCAATAAGTTTCAGAAATAACAAAACCACAAAAGTAAAACGACAATAAAAGTGAGTACACATGTGTCCTTACCCCTGGTGCTAGCTGCAAGTCACTCACAGAACCATCCTCCCCACACAATGCAGATGCCATAGTCAGCAGCAAAGATCTGGGGACAAAGTGACATGATTTAGTTTAGTTTTAGTAGATGTTTTACGGCGCTCACAACTGCATAAGGTCATATGAGCGCCAAAAGATTAGAGGAGTTACAAGAGAGTAACAAACATAAAAAAGAAGGGGACGATAGATGTTTGACAGGAAAGAAGGAGCAAACCACACCAGAGCACCCGCCAACCACCCATGGTGACACGATTCTGATTCATAGCTGCTACAGACATGGGAATCCAACAGAATGTCAACGACAATAAACAAAAGGATGCTGTAAAGAAATGTGTCTCTTATTCTATGTGATATGACAGAGAGTGGTATGTCAAAGGTCCCATTAACAGGACAATTTTTTTTTTTTACATGAGGTCCACTTAACTGAAAATCCCACCTGACTGACCACAGTCTATCACAATGCATTCTACCAAAAGGCCTGCAAAAGTAATTTTACTCATTATTTATTTTTGTACTATCACTCCCATACCCCGATTCACTACTTTCAAGACCCCCCCCCCCCCTCCCCCCTGACAAACTTACTACAACGACCAAAACATTGTTAATGGCAAATGACAATCCAGCCTGAATAACGCAGAAGGTAAATGTTTTGTACCGTGAGTTGTGGTTTTTTGGTAAGTGTTTTACGGTGCTCGCAACTGCATAAGGTCATATATGAGTGCGCGGGACACACCAACATTTTCAGTTGTTAAGAAGGCTTAAGCCTACTCTTATTGATTTTGGACCACCAAGGGATCTTTATCGAGCGCAACTCGCACATGGGACATCCCAGATTTTTCGCCCTTGTCCAAGAAGGTTAGGTGTAGATCTTACCTACCATAACATCAATGGTGTGGCTGAAAGACAACAGTAAAAAAGAGCCAAGGAGAAGCGGTAGAAAGGCTGCAAAAAGTCAGGAGCCCACAGGTGGGGGCAAAGGAGGTGTGGGGGTGGGGGCAGAAAGTGGAGATGAAAGCAGATGACAGAACATTGTTATTGTTAGACAGCAGGAAAGGATGTGAAAGGAGAAAACTTTTTAGAAGAAAATTTTCCGTCACTATCCGGATTTTAACATGGGACCTATTGAATGAGAGTTCTTTAGGTCACAAAAGCCCCCTGGATGTAGTGTAGTTGCCAAATAAACCATCAAGTAGACTAGTTGTCAGACTGATCAATGGTAGACTGTCAAGTAGAACATAAAAACAACACAGCAGACTAGACTGTCAAGATCCAGACTAGGAAAATCTTCTAGAGATCAGCATATTTTGTTCCTTTTCTATTATCTATTTGTGGTGACCGAATTTTGCTATTCAAAAGACTTTTTAATGGCGGCATCGATCGACATGCGGTTTTCGCCAAAAGATTCTTTAAAATATTTTCCTGATCATGACACCCTTCGTTTTTTTTCAGTTTTGTCATAGTTTTGCTGCAAAAAGCTCATTTTCTTTATTTCGCCGATCACTTTTGTAGGCCGACGCTTCTGTCTCTGTAATTTTAGAAAATCAGCCAGGTTTGTTTATTTCAAGTCGTACTTCTGTTCACTACTATCGCGCAATACTGAGCACTATTTTAAGTGTGCGATTCGTATAGATCTAGCCTTATGTTTTCTTTTTTTACTTGGTGCTAAATTCGACTGTGATCCTTTCGTTTGATGCCCATCATCGTTTTTTCAGGGACTCCTTTGTCAAATTCTTTTCCTTGCTCCTGGGAACAATCAACACACTTCTGTGTCAATCCGTTCATCGAACGGGGGCCCAGCTAGTCTCTTTTATTTGCTGGATTCAGGTAATAAGACAGTAAGGATTAGGACTACAGTTAAATTGAAGGTTACCTTCTTTACTCTAACCGTAACCCTACCCAAACCTTTATACCCGGATCCAGCAAAGAGGTTAATAAAACCTGCAGATCTGGAAGATTTCCCTACCAAAGCCCAAACAACAACTCAAATATTTAAATATTTTTATCTGTACTGGCAGTCCGATTGCAGCCTGGAAACATAGTCCAATCATGCAATAACAAAGGCAAGAAACATACAGCCATACAGTAAATGTTGAAATCGTCAAGGATCTAAAAAGACAGCCACCCATTGTCAAGGAGAAAAGTGGCCATGCTAGACATCTTACACAGTATAATTTATAATGTTAACTCTTAATCTGTGTCTATGCCGAGATGTGAGTCTTATTAGTAGCTTCTTACCGTGGACATTCCAGCGGGTCGCCGAGGGCACTCATCCCATATTAATAGCTTTCTATTTATAAAGTGTTACGAACACATGAATAACAACCCCCCTCCCCTCATAAGTTGATACATCGTTACAAGTAGTTACACCCATTCGAATAACCTTTCAGAGGCTCGTGTTGTGATGAATGATCTTGGGTTGGAAAGGAAATAATACAGGTCAACTTCTGAATGATTTGCTCTCTAATTTTTCTTTTTACCTGCACAATGGTATTCAAATAAGCTTACTTCAATCAGGCAATATCATTTTATAAAAATCAAGCTCATTTAATAAATTTTGTATAGAAAAATCGGAATTCTTGTTTCCTGGCTACCCTTTTGAGCTCCTCATATCTAAATGAGTCAGTTTGTACTAATTTAATTGGACGAACCTAGAGCTACCAACTTGACATGTTTTGAAAGAGACGTACACTCGGTTTTGAACCAACACAAATGGTTCTAGAAGTAGGCCACAAACTAACACGAACACAAACTCAAACAGACTGACGCACACACACTTGAGCTGCTGGAATACCGGACCCGGTCATCACAGATGATGCTTGGCATGCATGCGCTGAGCTAAGGCCAGACTAATACGAGACCGGGCGGAGGGCGAGGTGCCAAAATACGCTTAATCGGGGAACATTTGCCCACCACCCGCGGGACGGGCCTAAAAGTATAGGCCCACTTTACGAAAATTAAAGGGGAGGGAATGGGAAGCAGCGTTTTGCAGTTTGTACAGGAGATACTTAGTCTTAGGTAAGCACGGGTAGATGTAGTGGGTCCAAGTTAATTAGTCTTTTTAAGACTTACGTAGACTTTAGACATGTCAGTAGTGGCTTAGAACAGGCTAGTTCCACTGTACTCTAGTAACACTTTGCTGTCACATCTCGCCGATCGGCGATGTTTACTACCCAGTATCTTTGGATTTTCCCCAAATCGCCTAGTTGCCTTTGATGGCAAGGTTTTTTACTTTATATGAGCCTTGTGATGTCAAAGTGTTAAAACTTTGACAGCTGTTCAGGCGTTACCTTGAACTTGAAATTAACTGCCCTTAATTAATTAAAATAATGTTAAGACTTTAAGACCTTTCCTTTTCCTATTTTAAAAAAGGCCACCTCTATAGCTCATGACCCACTATTCTCAGCCCCCCCCCCCTCTCCTCCAAGACATAATGTAGCTATATGTAATAGTTCGGACTGCTTCAAGCGTGAGCGCTCTTACAGGTATTAAAGTCAGGATATATGGAAAATTACGAGTCAGACTTTTGAAACAGAACAGATATATATTAAAATTATAGATCTAGATATGATCATCTTAACCAGATCTTTGCTAAATTTATTTAATCTTTAATGAACAACAAATAGAATAATAATAATGTAAAAAGTATGTCTCACTTAAGACCCTGGTGCGCAGGATGAGGGACCGGCCACCCGCCGGACCATACCGTTTGTTGTTTACACACTAACGATGGCAGGCTTATCTGCCTACACACACAATAAATTATGGTTCAAGGAACAGAGAGTGTGTACGAACGTAACGAGACATGGGCACGAAACTAATGCTCTTGCACTACAGTAGAAGGGTTGTAAATTATTCGGCCAGCTCCATTCGGACTCAAGTCCATATAATTTTTATCTATTCGGACTCGAGTCCGAATATGGGTTTTATCTATTCGGACTCGGGTCGAAAAAAATGTTTTATTTTTTGGACTAAGCTTCTAACTGAGTTATGTGAGTGTAAGGGTGTCATCTGGGGATTATACGTAAAACCAGAATTAGAACCATAAATTGCCTACTAGGAGGACTGTGCAATTGTGTCAAAAGTCAAAAGACTGCACTCTCATTAAATCTACCCAATGGCAGTGTCTATGTACACGGTAACCAACAACTCAGGGTCTTTCTATCACCACTACAGCATCATCATTACTTCTACCACCATTTGTCTTTCCATATTTGAGTTTGTTTTGTGTTATAGTTATAGTTTTTCTGTAATTTTTTTTAAAAAATCATATCAAACAAAACCGACAGTCGTGGCCTCTTCCCCCCGCAAACCGAGAGTGCGATATCACTACGCGCAATCTCATTGGTCAACATTTAACTTTGCCCCCGGCAAGGTCAACTCAACTTAGTCGTTTTGTTCAGACTAAAGATGCAGGGAGGGCCAGTTTAGATAGATCTAGTAACTGGTTATTAAAGCTCATGTCTCAATTGTTATCATTATAATCGAAAAAATGTTCGTAAAAGCTGGAAATATATTTAGGAACAAGGGTAGAAAGTCGGAACGGACGTCACGCTGGACTCAATTCAGAATCTGAATATAATTTTTGTCGAGTCCGAATAGTCACTTCGAAATTATTCAGACCAAATGGGCGAGGGCATTAAATCGTGTCAACTAGTTTAATAATTAAGCAATCTAAGCTCTTTTCTTCACTTTTTTTTTTCTTGCCTCTTTTTTCAGAGACTTTCCCTTTCTTCTTGAACATTTGAAGTGTGGAGCCAAAAAAGATCCAGAGAGCCAAATGAAATTCTGTTGTTGTTTTTTTTAGTAGAGGGTTTTGCGGCGCTCGCAACTGCATAAGGTCATATGAGCGCCAAGGGGTGGGTGTCAACAGAGAAATTTTTACAGGGAATCAGACTTACTCTGCTCACCTCTCTAGCTTCAAAAGTAAAAGGCCTGCTTCAACTATCAAGGCACCCCGGAAATAGCGAGTCACAAACATACAAAAGAAGTAGAGGAAAATGACAATAGTAAGGATTAGGAAAGAAAAAGCAGCAGTTCCCTGTTGAAGATCAGGCACAGTTATGAGCGTGACATGACGAATCAGCCCATTTACAATTCTACTGTGCTTGAACGAGAAATGTCCCCCCTTTGGGAATGGCCTAAAGACACTACAGTCAGTGGCGCTGCCCCGGTGGGTCGAAATCTGTGGGATAGACGCGATCCAAAAGCACAGTAACCTCATCCCTGATCCCTCTAGAGTCATTAACGGTAAAACGAGGAGGTGAGAATAGCGAGACACGGGTTATTCTCAACCGCGAATAACCACTTCCTTTAAAAAACACGAAGTGACTACTTCTCCGAACGCTCGGGAAAATAAACTTGATCTTTATTTCTCTGAACGGTTTCCGTTCTTGAGATATTTTGACTATTTGCGAGATTTAGTCGTCATCTTTCATTTTCTGCCATTCTGCGAGGACTCGGAAGAAGCACTTTTTGCATCAAAATCAATTTCTAGAGCAAGAGATTTTTAAATGTCTGAATATTCAGATATTTCAATTGTCGTTGGGGCAACGTCCCCAGACTAGATCTCTATACTTGTTCATTTGAAAGGTAGGCTACTGCGAGAAAACAAAGATTGCTCGACTCGACCTCAGCAGTAACCTATTTTACATTGAGTCATCCCTAAAGCAAAAACTAAAGGCATCCTTCATGTAAACAAAACAAAAAATCCCTCCACCCCCGCCCCTATATATGCCCTGTCACAACTTAAACACACACAATGCGCGCACACGCACACACACACACACGGGCCACTCCATTCGCAAATTATCAACAATGGACAACAAATCTCGAAAAGGGAAACCGTTCGGAGAAATAAACATACAGTTCAACTTTCAAGTTTAGTTTATTTTTCCAACTGTTCACAGAAATAGAGCCAGCCTTAAAAAAAAACTAAGTCTAGCCGTACTTAGATCCAGGTTTGGCCCTATCGACTCAAACCTGTTAAGTACACAGGTCTCATTAGATCTAGATCTAGTAATTATTCAGGTTCAAATACATGCAAGTCAGTAAGGCACCTTTTGGTTTTGTCTGAAATACAAATACTTTAGGCATTGCAAACTAAAAATTTCATTTACAATTCAGCCATCAATATTAAGTACGGCTAGCCTGACAGTCTAGCCGTCCTTAAGTACGGCTAGCCTGGCTGTCTACCCGTACTTAAGTACGGCTAGCCAAGAAGTCTAGCCGTACTTAAGTACTTAAAAGTAAGGCTAGACTGGCAGTCTAGCCGTACTTATCGTAGGCCCTATTATTAACATTAGAAAACAGGGGGTTTAAAATACATGCACAGTCATTAAAGCACCTGATTTCGTCTCAAATACAAATACTTTAGGTTTACAATTCAGTAGGCCTATTTTTTTTGGCCGTCTTTATTCGGACTCGAGTCTGAAAAACATTTTTTCATATTCGGACTCGAGTCCGAAAAAAAAAATTTCTTATTCGGACTCGAGTCCGAATATGAAAAAATGTTATTCGGACTCGGGTCCGGAACAAAGGAAGTGTCTTCGTTCTATAGATCTAACGTTCAATGCTTCCAATTTTCCACCATTTTTTAGTTTCCCACACACCTTTTCTGCCGATCCGATGCCCGCCGCCTCATTGATACCCCCCCCCCCCCACGTTTCCCACTTTCTTCAATTTGTTGTAGAAAAAGGTAAAATTGAAGATTAGCAGACCACCTGGCACCTGCATATTATGAGCTGTGTAAAAAAAAAAAGACAGATTCGTTCAAATACACAAGCCTGTATCATCTCTATTGTTTACCAAGAAAAAGTTGTGTTGCTGTGTAGAGCTGAGCATACGGCAACTTTTGATTCCATAGACCAGCGCACAATTCATTACATAGATTTACGTCAAGACTAGCTTATTATTGTAATAATGATCAGTTGCCGGGGGAAAAAGACTGACACGTATGCGATGTTCAACGCCCGGACCGATAGTGCCCCCCATCCCCCTCCCCGACACGCACACAGCAACACGTGTGCAGGCCGCCCATCCGACCCCAACACACGCTAACGAGCCATCTTTAATTGCTTCTAATGACCTCTTGACAAATAAACATTTATTAGAAGCGCTATAACTTTTCAGGCCGACCTCAAATTCATCATTTATAAGATAAAAACTTGGCTCCTGCACAAAACGCCATTTTGCCCGAAGTGATCCCGGTCTCTTCCCAGCCAGAGGCGAGTCACGAGTGAGGCAGGACAGGAAGCTGGAGTCACGAGTCACAGGAAGTCGGAAGTGTAGTTCGGCTCGATTCGAAAAGTTAAATAGCCGTAGCATCTTTGTAGACAACCAAATTAATTTACTTTTGTGTTTTAACATCATTTTTTAACTTTGTTTTGGTCAATTTGATCGTCCACACCGATAGACAGTATTCAGAAAGAGACAGAGAGAGAGAGAAGAGGGGAGGAGTTGATCTTGCGAGAACTTCCGGGCGGGTGAGAATAGCCACTTTCTTTTCTGTCACTTTCATATAGTCACTTCGATTTTTCTAAGGCAAGGCCGTCGTTATTCGGACTAGAGTCCGAATAAAAAATTTTCATATTCGGACTCGAGTCCGAATAAAAAAATTTCTTATTCGGACTCGAGTCAAGAATGCTGGACAAGAATCAGAGTCTGAATAACATTTTTTCATATTCGGACTCGAGTCCGAATAATCACTTCGTTTTTTTAATGGTCAGTCCAGCCATCGCCCATATTAAAAATAAGTACGGCTAGACTGGCAGTCTAGCCATAGTTAAGTACGGCTAGACTTGCCGGGAAAAAAGGTAGATTTGCACAGAGAGTCTAGATTCTAGATCTTAGATCTCTAGATCTAGATCTAGAATCTAGATTTAGATATCTACTCATATGATGTCACAGGATATGATCATTCACAGTGCAGACTTACAGACTGTCACTATTGTCACAGACACTGTAATAGGCCTACAGTATTAGATCTAATATCTAGATCTAGATCTAGATCTAGATCTCTAGAAGACAAAAGAGAACCACATACGAGTACGAGGACGAGGACATACACTCACACACGCCCGCCAGTACCAGTAGTGTAGTAGTGTAGGTGTAGCTAGATCTAGTAGGGCCTTGTCACAGGTGTCGAATCAATTATACCCTGTAGATCTATACAAGTAAGAACAAATAACTAAACGTGACATTCCATCCACAGCTAATTCAAATACAGAAATTAATATTACCATCAGTTAATGTGCCAAGAAGATCTGTTATAGCCGATTTACCTTGAAAAATCATGTGTAATACAAATGTAAACACGAGCACATGCAGAAATTTGAATGGTTCATGCACGTTTGCCAGATAATCCATGAGGTAGTTGCTCAAATTAGTTGTTGTACCTAAAATTCAAACATGAAAAGAAAAAAATATGAACAGCATCCAGTCGGCTAGATATTTACCTAAAAATATTTTTTGTATTACGGCTCATTCCTAAAACTAGCCTACTACTTTTAAAAACTAAAACATAATATAAGCCACACTGCAGAATAAGCGAACAATTTGAGAGGACAAAAGCAACTCGGCAATACTCCATCAGTCTATTAAAAAGACTAATTATTTACAGCTGACGAGACCTTGAAAACGAAACAACATAACCCCCATGCAAAATGTTACCTTTAAACGTGAAATTAATTATTTTCCTTTGAATAATACAATAATAAAACACCATGTTCATTTTTCCGCCTCTGAAACATACTAATAAATATTGACTTAAGCGAAGAAAATTTTTGGAAGAGGAAGGGAGCTGCTTTTTTTTTTAAGGGGGGAGGGTTCAATAAAAAAAAAGACCTTTATGCCACCAAAATCGATGTTGTTGTTCGCTGCAATCATGCAGGAGTCGGCGTTTTGACCATAGCGTGAAAAAGAACAGAAAAAAGGAGAAAAAATACCCTCCTTGCATCTAGCCAGTCGTTAATTCGATCCCGTTTCCTCCCCAACACAAAAAGAGAAATAATTCTTAGAAATATATTATGTAGCTTAATTATATACATGCATGTACTATGCATTTTTAAAAAAAGAAAGGCCCGGTCTCAAAGGGGATAGGGGAAATATAAATAACATATTTGGCGGAAAGTCAACAGGATAATAAATGCTATTCTTAGACTTACTGAAGGCCATGGACAATGGTAAGCACAGCAAAGACAGAAGTTTTTTTTTCCAGCCTGTCCCAAGTGATACGCAGACCCTCCTCTTAAAATCACAATTATAGGCCTCATAGAACAACACTTGAGTAATGTTGATAGCTTATTTAGTATCTTGGCAGTGATATCTTCAAATGCCGGCATCGATGCAGAAAAAGTTTTATGAATGAAAAAAGCTAATTGCACATCCTTTGGAAGGCCCAGAACAAGAATTGGGACTGCTTGGCATTTGCACAAAGACAATAAGTTAAAACTCTACAAAGCTGTGGCCCTTCTAACCGTGTTGCATGGTGCTGAGACATGGACGGTGTACCAAAGCCATGCCAAAAAAATTAATAATTTTTCATCTGAAATACCTCAGGAGAATTCTTGGCATCAATACTGTACGTTAGTATAACTCTGATCGAGTTGTGGAGCACATTAAACAAGAACGCGTTTAAAGCGCTACAAAGACACCCTGAAATATGTCTCTTACATCCATGAGTGGATTGTGGATGGGGAACTTTTGAATGGCAAGCTTTTCAAGATCTCTGATAGGATTGGTCTCGTATCGGCCACAACAGAAGCCACAATTTAATTAGGTCACCTTAACCTTTAACTTATTCAAGTTCTTCTATTTCGTTAGAGATTTATCCTCCTATGCGGATGTATTGGTCATCGTCAGACGTTGTCGAGCCTATTTTAGGCCCTATAACTCCTTTATTGGGATAGGATCCGAAGATATAAAGCTACATCATCGTACTGGACATTTGCGTGTCTTCATGAAAAAATTGAATCATCCTAGGACGATCATAGGTCCGGAGTGGCCAGTCCGATGGAGCAGTGTGTGGAAAATAGAAAAAAGCTTTTCAGGTGATTCGAAGGTCTGTGAAGGCAATGTAGTGTAGAGTGGGCGCCTCTGCTGCATTTTCCTTGCTGCTTGAGTGAATAAAGCATGCTGATTATTCCCCCTGTCAACCCTGAATCCGCACTTCACTACTGTGGAAATAGATGTTCACCGATTGCCGCTCTGTTCAGCATTACGAGGGAAAAGGCTTTTTCAACAATATTGAGTGGGGGGAAAACCGCGGTAATTGTCGCAGTCATTGCCATCACCTTGTTCTTAGTACATGTAATCTTAGACGAATGATTTTGGCATTGCACTTCTCTTGGGGTACTAGTGCCCCCTCCCAGTAGGCGTTGCAAAATCTTATTGAGATGGTGAAGCAGTCGTTGTCTTTTTTTATAGACACTAGCCTTGTTGACCTCTAGCAGGATGCCGTCTTTTCCCGAAGTTTTGCAATGACGAGGGAATCGATGTCTTTTGTTTTCCGCAGATATGTCAGAGCGTTCTCCTTCGAGACGAGTTTCTTCCTGGCAGTGTTTTGCCCACCTCTCCTTTAAGTACTTCGATCGGAGATTATAATTTCTCTTGTAGGGGCGATTTTGGGGTTTAAAAAAAACAACAACCCAGAAACATCTCAATAACAACGAGAATATGAGTTCTTAAAGGGTATGGACAAGTATCCCTTCCACATTGTTGAGAATGCTTGACAAAATAACAAAAGATATCGAAAGCAATCTGGACGCAAAAGAATTGTGGTTTCTATAGAGACTGTTGATATTTTCATTAAAAAATATATCAAATGAGAGTGCTGAAATCGCTTGATCGCACGCACACTATTTTTTCCCTTTTTTGTGTGTTTCGATAAGGCTACCTTGGTTTTTGACAACCTCTAAGTTAAGTTTTTAGAGGAGTTTTTTCCGGCGCTCGCAACTGCACAAGGTCATATATGAGCGCCAAGGGGTGGATGTCAACAGAGAAGTCCATAAAGGGAATCAGGCTTATTGTGCTCACCTCTCAAGCTTCTACAGCACAAAGTCTGCTGCGACTATCAAGACACCCCGGAAATAGCAGGTCACAAGAGAGTGACAAACATACAAATACAAAAGAAGTAGAGGAAAATGACGATAGTATTAGTAAGGATAAAGAGAGAAAAAAAGCAGCAGTTCCCCGTATGCAGTTCATGCATAGTTATGAGCATGACATTGATGAATCAGCCCATTAAAAATTTTACTGAGCATAAGAACATGTTAATTAATGTACCCCCTGGAATGGTCTAAAGGCACTTCAGCCAGAAGTGGGGGAGGGGGGGGGGGGTACGCACACTATTGAAAGCAACAAAGAAGAGACAAATTTTGAATCCAACGGTCTACTTGAATTGACAAAAATGCCTTGAACATCCTGCTCTCACTGGAGAAACAGAATGCAAAAATAACAGGGGTAGATCTAGACCAAAAACAAATTTGGGAAACTGAACAGATAGGTGATTGTTTAAGTCCAGGATAACGGTAATAATTAAAGGTTTGGGGGGGGGGGTTGTGGCTATAATCAACAGGCGCTAAAAACTCAGCACTACTCCCGTCTATTGAATGATATGTGCTGTTTTGTAAGGAACATTCAACACAACAGAAGCATTAAATACAGAGAGTAGTGAAGTGAAAGATATAATTATATTGTACAAATACAGTAGACCTACTCAACTCAAAGAATCTTACTACATAACCTCCTTGGCCTACCTCTGACTATTGTCCTTCTACAAGATATGAACTGTTTGCATGGAACTGCATGTCTTTCATGGGCTTTTTTTTTAAAACTGAAAGTGGTGTAGCGGTATTTTGTTAATTTCAATTAATTAAAAACTTGCTGCTGCTATTGAAAGGAGAATGGATCAAGGAATCCAGATTTTGTTCTTATTCTTATTCATTGAAATTAAGAAAATCAATGGAGATGTATAACTGTAATATATCGTTCGAATAGTATCGGCTGGATCCTTTAACCAACAACCTTGGATCGAATTATTCCCTTCAGCTTCAGACTTCTTTGTCACATAAAATAGAGAGGATGGCATCCAATAAGGCGCATAATGCTTTTACTCACATTTTTACACCATACAGCCAACGCTACATCATACAGTCAAACCTCGTTATAACAAACCCCGTCAAACTGCCAGCCGCGATTACCGCCAGGCTTTGCCAAAGTCTGTACGAAAAGGAACGCCTATATATAGTACAACATGTGTTAATAGCATTTACACGCACGGCACACGGCACTCACTCGGATTGGTTGCTGGAAATTGATAGCCTCTTTCCCACCCAAGTCTTTCCGAGCTCTGCTTAATTTAAGCATTTGTTGCCGACTTGCTCGTGATTTGTGCTGATTCTATCTTTAAAATGCTACATTATTTTAAGGCTTTGCCCAATATGAAATTTTCAAGTCTCCCGCAGAAACTTCAAAGGAACTGCGCTGCCTCGGCCAAGCGGCTAAATATCTGGCGTTGCCAGATAGCTGCCCCACGACCAAATGGCTGGCTGGGGTCCATGAGGCTTTTTTGTGAGGACTCACAATACAACGTGGAATGTCTAAGGCGACCCCAAGACTGACTAGTGTCGAATTAAAAGAATGTGTTTAAAGGGTGTTTGACGCAAAAAATATACTATTGCCTAACTCCGACCCGCAGACATTTTTTGTATGAATTTACATAAGTTTCATCTGGAGCTGTACGTGTAAACGGTTGATGCACATTTCCCGTGCATGGCAGATCTAAAGGAGTCAAAATTGGCCATAATAATAGTTTGTCTCTAGTCTCTACCACTAGTTAAGATGGCGATTGGTGCTATCCCATTATACCACCAGCTCTGATGTACCAACTTCATGCTCGACTGAGAAAAACGTCTGTTTGCAGGTTGAAAAGCATATATTATTATGCAGCTATCCATATTTTAGAAACAAGTATTTCTGGGCTCATCAATATTTCTTGGCCGGCTGAATTTAGTCTGCTGATGAAAAATGGTGAAATGGTAAAATGTTTATCATCCCTATCAATCAACACTATTAGCTTATTTAAGAGGCGGGACCTCCAAGTTTTAAAGTCCATATATATACGAGGACACAACGTCAGACCGCGCTGAGGCTCGGATTCCTGAACCCGCAATCTCTTGATTATGGGTCCGATAGCCTACCAACCCCATGGCTACCGTCGCTACGAATTTAATCTGGTGCATTAAGATAGTTTATTACTAGAGCAGAACATGACTACAGCGGCACCCTCATCCCTACAGCGGGACCTTACCGGAATCCCCGTTTTTCTTCCTATGTAAACTCAATTACTTATGCATGAATATAGCGGGACAAGAAAAGTTCTGAACTCTGATACAGCGGGAGAGATCGAGCTATCTCTAGCGGGGAGGGGTGGGGGGTTGTAGGCGGGCTCCAATCAGGCAGTCAGCGTTGTGATTGGCTAGCCCAGTGATGATTGAGGTGGGGCAGGCGGTAGGCCTAAAGAGAGATGGTGCGGAGAGAGAGGTGGTGAGGAGAGACGCACTGGGGGGAGCACTCCAAACGTAATGTAGATAATAGCCCTAGCCCTAGACTAGGCTAAAAGGTAAAAGAAGAGGAGAGCGTGTAGTGTGCGATTCCTGATTCATTGAATTGCGATCGTTGATGCTCAAGTATACACTTCACCAGTTCTACAATAGGCCTAACGGTACGATAGACAGCACAAGCAACAAGCCAAGGAATATGTGGCTTCCAACGAAGACTACAGGAAATGCTTTTCACTCGATTTAAATGCCGAGATAATCAACGAAGTTGACAAAAAAAGGAAGATTAATCTAAAGCGCAAATTTTTTTAATATGTGGAAGGGATGTAATCATGTGGATTTTAAAGAACATTTTCAGTAATTTCCCCTTTGCATTCCTATAGCGGGAACTCGACAACACAAGATTTTTCTTCAGGAACCAAAAGTCCTGCTATAGCCGTGTTCTGCTGTACATACATGTATGTATAAAAGTTGAGTAAAGCGGAGCACATCAACAGGTCAACCGCCATTTTGAGCAGGGGAAAAAAGAAAAATTAATAAACAAAAACAACAGAGAGAAAAAAAGATACAGGGCATCCTCTGGTAGGTTAAGGACCCCTGGTCAAACAGAGAAACACTTACAAAAAAGAAATAATATCCATACAAAGTTCTATAAGCTCTTTCTTGTCAAATTGTTTATTGGAAGAATAAACAGTTTGCACCAAAAAAAAATAACAATAAAAAAAAGTTTGAGTAATAACATGAAGAACATTGTTCCATTCCTGTACATGAACATATTAATGTTATGAATAAATCATAAGGTAGTCTAGCATTTTATTTTGTTGACAGCTGGGATGGTACATCATGTGAACAAGATAAGGATGAATCAATTTCCAAAAGTTCTATAAGCTCTTTCTTGTCAAATTGTTTATTGGGAGAATAAACAGTTTGCACTAAAAAATAAAAAAAACAATTAAAAAAGTTTGAGTAATAACATGAAGAACATTGTTCCATTCCTGTACATGAACATATTAATATTATGAATAAATCATAAGGTAGTCTAGCATTTTGTTTTGTTGGGATGGTACATCATGTGAACAAGATAAGGATGAATCAATTTCCAAAAATGAGTGTGTGTGTGGGGTGGGGGGGGGGGGGGGGGGAGGGCAGGAGGGAGATGAAATAATAATAACAGATTCATGTGAAATCATCATGTTCACTTGTCGAATGCAATATAGTGGGCCACTCTGAATAGAAAGGAAGTGTTTGTTTTTCTTAAAAACAATTACAGTTCACTCACAAACTATGGCAAAAAACAATGAGAGAAAGTGCTTTTGTAAAGCATACAAATACATGGACAATGTAGTTAAAGTTAAAGTGTCATTAACCCCTTCATTGCCTTATGACATACAAAGTACATCTTGAAAAATACATAATTTTTCGCTTTGTGCCGTACCACGGATGTCACGGAAGTTGGCAAAATTTGCCATTTTTGATCTCCTTTAAAGACATGTTTGCCATGCAGTCCTGGCATTGAGAAGGATAGGACTGACGTGGTGCTAGCATGTCGTAAGAGGCGACTAAATGGTGAACCAGGTAGAGACTCCCGAAACAGAGTTATCCTCCCTCCAGGCCAGGGGATAAGTCATGAGGCTAACAACCTCTCTCGTTAAAAGAACCTGTTACAGAAACACATACAAGCAAAAGCCTAATGGTTGGTTGTGGATCATCTCCGAATGGACAGTTTATGATGCGAGGCAGTGAAAGCCAAAAGGAAGATGCTGGGCAGAAACTTCCCCCACCATCTAAGTCTGTTCGGATTGAATCGTGGAACATTAGGACCCTTTATGACAGTCACTGCAGTGGAGCCCATAGGGAACACAAGGCAGGGGTAGGCCACGGGAAACATGGAGGAGATGTGTGGAAAAGGAAATGAGAGGGATGAAACTCACTTTCGTGGAACGAGCTTGGAAGGATGGCCCAGGGCAGAGATAAATGGAAGGAGCTTGTATGTGGCCTATACCCTGCCACGAGTGGAAGGCATTGATGATGATAAGACATGTATTACTATATGTGAGGCATTGTGGTGAAATCAGGCGCTCGTCAAAATACTGAAATAGAAGAAACTGGCATTTTTCTGCTGGTTAGACCATTTTTATTGAATTTTTGTTTTTTGGCTCAACATCTATTAAAAAACACATTTCTGTGTGGATTCTACTGACAAACTTTTACAGGGGCAAAAATTGTAAATTTTCAGTTTTCAAGGACTCTCAATCTATGGAAGTCACCAAACTTTGGCAGCCATTTTCTCTCTAATTTTACATCTGAACCTGGCGACCCCCACTTCCTTCAATCACAAATATCTTGACTTCTATTCCAGATAAAAAGATATTTTTTCATTCAAAGCAAGGCAAGTGAACAGGCTTTAAGTTGATACCGGTACCAATAACTCCATAAGCCCAAAAATTGACGAGTGCCTGATTCCACCGCATCGTGACACATGTGTCACACTAATCATCTGGCTACAATTCTTCTGTATGCAGATTAAGCCACAAGCACAAGATGGATTTGTATTTGAGGATTAAAAATGCCTATATTTGTACCAAATTTGCTTGTGTTACTTTATAAGTAGGCTTGCAAGAAATATATAAACACAGATCTAATCTTGCAGACAAAAAAAGCGTGCTTTCACAAAACATAAACACTAAAATGATAGAAAAAGAAAGGTAAAATATTTCACATTTTGACTTAATTTTTCAAGTTGTTTGAAACAATAATGATATTGGGGAATATGAGGATGAAGAAGGTGATGAAGACTCAGGTTCCAAATATGTCATGAGTGGGCCAGATCCAGACCGCCAGTCCACTGACACTGAGACCGATGAGACCACTGTCCTGGCTAAAGAGCATAGCTGAAACTTAAGGTTGACAGTAGAAATGCACACCCCCTGACAATGAAAGGATTTTTCAGTTTAATTGTATTAAGGTTACACTACTCTCGCAACTGCATAAGGTCATATGAACGCCAAGGGGTGGATGTCAACAGACAGAGAAGTTCAGACAGGGAATCAGGCTTACTCTGCTTACCTCTCTAGCCACAACAGCACAAAGTCTGCTTCAACTATCAAGGCACCCCAGAACTAGCAGTTCACAAGAGAGTGACAAACACAAAAGAAGTAAAGGAAAAGTGACGATAGTAAGGATGAGGGAAGAAAAAGCAGCAATGAAAGGGTTAACTGAGCCAAGTCCCTTACTGATGTATAATCCAACAGTGAAAGGGAGAAAGTGTCTCAAAACTACAAAGGCCCAATTCATTAAACTTCGACAGGTGCATTTTTTCCCCCTCTGCCGATCAATAAACTCTGTGTTTTAAAAAAACTGTTGAGAAAATACAAAACTAACTGGATAGGTATAGACTCTCCAGGAGTTTCAGCAGCAAGTCAACAGCCTTTCTCCAGCTTAGTAGTCAACTCCTCCAGTTCTAGCAAAAGTAGCATGTGGTTTTGGTATCTCGTATTTCAGGACAATCTTTCACTTATCAGAACTATTAGTGTTACTCTATCAAAGACTATGTCACATCAAAGATGAGACTGTAATCATAATCAAAATTAGGTAGGACCCTTACAGAAACCAAAAATATGATTATTATATCTCGCTTGATGTTGTAGGACATATTACTGAACCTGTTGTCAACTTTCCACTCACAGCTCAATCAATCCCCACAACTTTCTTAAAAAACAACAACAGGTAACAAATCAATGCATGTAACTTGTACATCAAATTTCACATGATGACTCTCATTCTCAAATGTGATACTGATACAGGTGAACTATGAGTCAGATTTGCTGACAAATTCAACATAAACAATTAGCTAAACTGGCAGTACTCCTTTCTCTCATCACCATTTTTCAACAGTACCTTTCACATGCATTCTCTGGCACTTCACACAGACTCACTCACAAACACACCAATCAATAGCCCTGGTATCTATCTTTGTTTATTCTGAGCAGCCTCCTTCCTTGTGGCATCCTGTAACAGCTGTGTATCACACTCATCTGCTGGCAACTGCACATAACGGACCACTGACCCTCGGATGAAACACGTCTTCACTGACAGCTGCCAAAAGACAACACAATTGCATCATTGATTTATAAAAAGTTATTTGTACATATGCACATGGATTATTATACAGTGTAAACAAAGGGGCTTTAAATTTAAACAACCCGTGGAGGAGCTCAAACAACTATTATTTAAGCCAAGAAAAAGCATCCAAATTTATCTGCAAACCACTCAACCACATCTTCCCCTTACCAACAGCATGCTTTATCTAGAGAAATATTTTCAGCAAAGATGAAAGCATTTCACATAAAAAAGGATCATGACCTTTACCAAAAAGAGGCTGTACAAAAAGTACAATATAACAAAAATGGCCTTTGTAAACATACAAGAAAACTTCCAGTGGAAGTGTGCCAACTGCTCACCTTCCTCGTGCAACAGGTGGCTCACGGGCCACAACCCAGTCCACAATGCCAGTTAATATGGCTCTTACTAATCCTTTTCATTTTTAAACCCCAGTCTAGCATCTGGTTTGTCGCAGTCGCAATTTTTGGCATTTTTTTGAGTCCGCGAATCGCAGCCGTGATTTTTGCATTTTTCAACCAACAAAACAAAACAACAACAAAAAGAACACAGCTGGAGAATAAAAAGTAGAAAAAAGGGGAAATAATTAAATAATGAAAATATTAAAAAAGAAACCGAACTTCTTTACTTTTACTTTTAGAAAGAGAGCTTATAATTCACTTCAGTTTCACTTCGTCTCTTTCTCACTTGTTGACACCACGTTGATTTGTTATTTTCATGTTAAGAATATGTTATAATTATAAGTGCACTACATACTATTTATATTGCTGTTTCTCTTTTATTATTCCCTCGTTGTTGTGTTTTAATTTGCTGGTGTATTAATTTTTGTTGCTGTTATTGTTCGGATGTGTTGCTTTTTTATTTTTTGTGTTTATATAGCGTAATGTCATTTAATTTGAAGTTGTTCCAACCTTTTTTTACATGTAAATGTGTTATGTTAAGAGCATGTCTCCACCAAATCCGAAAACTGATACTGGCAGGCCCCTTGGTATGATTCATAATTTACATGTAATATCCTGTACTTTTTTCTTGAATTACGTACGTTTAGGGTTAAAACAGCCAATCTTCGGATAGGTGGACACACACCCTTATTTGTTAATTTTTGTGGTTGTTTATGTGCTGTTTTAATTTTGAATTCATTCTGTTGTGAAACCTTTGTTTTTCACGTTTTTACACTCTGTGTGGCTAAAATGATATTCTGGATGCTTAGAATAAAGCACAAGAAATTCTAGCGCTATAAATTAAGTTACCTTTATCAACATATTGCTATAGATACGTCGTCACAGAGAATTAAAAGCTTGAAAATTAATGGCAACTTTTGCCATTTTTTGTGGTCACTTTTCGATAAAAAATGGCAACAAACGCAAACGCTAGCCCAATGCACAAGTTGTCATAAAAATACATATCATGACAGTGTGTGGCCCTAACTGTTGTTCCAAAGTTCAAAGCTCACCAGTTAAAATGAGAAGCGTTGCACACTCCTGCTCTCAACAGAAGGCAATTGATTCAGAAATATCTCAATAATTTCAGAGGAACTCCGAGCTTAGAACATTATCTGTCAGTCAGGCCTATTGCTACTATCATGTTTGCCCTGTCCTCCCCATTAAAAAAAAATCTATGTTCAAGTCAAAACAACACTCACCATATGTGGATACTTCTCTGGATCTGTGACACTGATATCTGTTAACTTGATGTTGAGGAACTGATCCACAGAGTGCAAAGTCCCACAGATGCTGTGTAGACAAACAAAAAATGACTTATTATCAAATATTCTGTAGAAGACTATTGTTATCTCATGATAAGCCGTTTGAAAAGGAAGAATGAAAATATCATATATATGTATATTAGATATATATATATATATATATATATATATATATATGTGCACAGCATGCCAAATGACTTAATGATATTACATTGAAACTAAACATAAGCATAATATCTACATTATTAGAACAGTAAAAAAAAAACCACACATGCAAAGAGTGAAAAAGTCAGCCAAAGTTGTCTACGTCACCACACAGAAGTATGGCAGCCTAAAAAAAAAAGGAACTTACCAGAGATCATTTTTTAACTCCACAACCACTTCTTTGCCAACAAGAGATTTGAAGAAGGAATAAAAAAGCTGAAATGGAAAATCAAAAGCACGATGTAAACTTTATAATAAAAGCAGTTTGTAACGAAAATGAATATTTTTCCGCCCACAAGCCACTTGTCCTGCCAACACATCATCTTTTTACTTGTGAATGCAGATGCACTTCATGAAAAGGGAGTGAAAGAAAAATAGCCTCCAGGTTTGACTGTACACTGTAGTTATACACCTGATTGTGGAGGAATATTTCACATGATCTGAAAGATCTGGCGGGTTTCAGAGGCAGGGATAGAAACTGATCAGTCCAAAATTTACTGACAGTCAGAGAAAGAGAGTGAGAGAAAGAAAGAGAATGACAGAGAGAGAGAGGGAGAGAGAGAGAGAGAGGGAGAGAGAGAGAGAGAGAGAGAGAGAGAGAGAGAGAGAGAGAGAGAGAGAGAGAGAGAGAGAGAGAGAGAGAGAAGGTGGGGGGGGGGGGAGAATGGGAGATAGAGAAAGATAAGGCATCATAAGGAGACAGGAACAGAGAGAGAAAGAGAGAAAAATAAGGAGACAGGAACAGAGAGAGAAAGAAAGTGTGAGAGAGAAGCACTTTCTGAGAAGAGAAAGGAGACAGGACGTCGGGTCCCACTTACGGAAAATGACAGAGAAAATCAAAATTACTGTAATTTTATTGAAAATATCCATCCCTGGAGAGGGGTATGCTGTCACAAACAATAAGGCCTACATCTTAAAATATATTTTTTAAAAATGTTTTGAAAAATTACGACGAAATCACAACTTCGTTCCCTACATCTGTCTCATGTAATTCAGTGTATGTGTGTCTGAATCAACATACAGACCAGCTTTTACTTTTTTGAATTTATATTTTCATCAAACACTCACACATGGATACAAATCAAAACAGAACACTTTGAATTTTTATATTTGTTGTTGTTGTGAATTTCATTCTATCTGTCACTTCTCTGGAAATTTTTCGAAAAATCAAATTCCTTCCAATTTTGAAACAATCATAAGAATTTAAGTATTAGACCTAGAGAACTTAATTTTTTTGCAATAGATTAAGTTTGAAAGTAACTTTACTGTGTCAAAAAAATTATTATAATAGGATAATTCTGAGAGTTGTGGTGGCGTTTTGAAATACCCTAAAAAATGCCAGTACCATAGCTGCCACAAACACCCCCCCCCCCCCCCCCAAGGCATTAAGTTGACAAACAAACATTTGAGTCAATTTGACACAGTTTGGAATTGGTGACTAAAAATCCAGAGTTTGTTGCCAGCTGGGGTCTTATAAAAAGATTTCTTTCACTTTAAACTTGTACATCGATGTAGAGTGCGCGCAGTATTGGATCAAGGAGGCAACACCTTTGCCGCTGTACTGAGCACTCCTGTACAATTGCGGTCCTGTTCGCACTTAACTTGGTAGTGCCCCTGTAGTGTGTAGATCTACACTGAATTAAAATTTATAGCCTAGGCTATCTAATCTACATCTAGATATCTAAATATGTGTAAATCTAGATTACATCTAGAGATAGATTATATCTAGATTCACTTCCACAGCCACAATAGCCATCATGTAAACAAACGGGACCGCAATTGTACAAGAGTGCCGCGGGCCGCGATTTCTTTATCACACCAAACGCAAAGTGCAGCAAGCGCTTGTTCAATTTACTAATGAACTTTTCAAGTCGCGGCTGCTTCTTTCTCATTCCAGCTCCTTTTATTTTTGCATTCTGCATCAATTTCTCTCGAATTTCCGCTGTTTTCAATGACAACTCAGCGCGCCAACGTCTCGATGCCCAATCGACACTTTGTTGCTCCACAATAAACAAAGTGAAACTAGCGCTAGGCCTAGAAGAACGGAAATAAAAAGCTACGGGCGGACATGCGTCATGCACAAGCTGCGTTTTCGTCTCTCTCCTGGTTCGGTGTTTTCCGCGTGTGAAAAAAAAAAGTATCGCAATTTGCGACCGAGAGCGGTCCAGTGGAGGAAGGGGGAAAGTAGCGGGAAAAGCTAGATAAAGCGGAGTTTCCGCTATTTAGCGGGAAAGTGGCAGCTATGCAGTACTCAGCGTTAGTGACTGGTGAAAGGGGCCAGTAGTTAGAGAGTTAAAGTCAAGTTTTGTGTAAAAAGGATAAAAATGAACAGAAAAAGCGCTATCTATTCCATCCTTAAGCATAACATAAGAGTTATAATATTGAACTACGCAATTAATTGCGCCTTGGTTTGTGGGGAAATGCTGGTCTTGAACTATGGATGAAACAAAAACAATGTAGGTCCAGGACATACCCTATCACCACACTGCAATGCAACTTGTTTCTCACACTGCTATTATAACAAACATTCGGATTCAATGAAACTGAGGCTCATCCTCGACAACTTCCTTAAATCCGATTTTCACTGCCAAGAAAAGAGAGAGTCACAGCCTGCCAACTCGGATTAAAACTGATGCTGTACACTACATAAATTGAGAAGAAGAAGAAGACTAGGAGTAGACCTACGTACGTCCTGCCACTGTGACTGACAACAAAGAGGGAATCCCCCAACGACTTCAAACAAGATGGCTGTTACTATAAATATCGGCTAATATAGCGTACTCCTGACATTCCTTAATAACCTAAAATAATTAGCACTTTTTCAGTAGTTCCAACCCCGCTTATTTGGACCTAGATCTAGATTTAGATATCTTATTAGACTACAGGCTCTATGTTTGATGCGCGGCGTGCAGGATACCGAGATATCAAACTTAGAACTGCAAAGGCCTGCAAAATATCAAATTATGGTAAAATGCGCCCCTCCATATTTTTATTAGCTTTCTACTTTGCCCCCCCCCCCCCCCCCCCGAAACCTCCCTAGATCTATAGTTGGGGCCAAAACCGGCAAATAGGGTGGAAACATCTACCGAAAAAGCGCCCTCTAATTCTAATTAATACTATCCGCTTGTGTAGTAGTAGGTTACACGCTGAGTGACGCCGGCGTGCGCCGGAAACGTCCAATGTAGTCGGTTAGCCTACTGATAAGACTCTCAACTTGGCACAGACGCAGGACAGGAAGGAATTTATTTTTATATTATTTTATTTAACCCTCGTACTGCGGGGGCCGAGTTTATCTCGCCTTCGTTCTGGCTCCGCGTCAGTGTAGCCCCTGACTCTGCGCACGCACACTGCACATCATCTTACGTGAAATTCGGGTCCCGAGTCGGATCCCCATTCACGCAGGTCACGTGTGTATGCGTCAGTCTGCTTGAGTTTGTGTGCGTTTGTGGCCTTCTTCTAGAACCGCCGGCATTGGTTCGTAATCGAGGTATACGTCTCATTCAAAACACGCCAAGTTGGTAGCTCTAGATGTTCGTCCAATGAAATTATAGAAGAAATTGACCCACTTCTTAGACATGAGGAGCTCGAAAGTATAGTCAGGAAACAAGACTTTCATTTTTCTATGCAAAATCTTTCAAAAATGAGCTCGATTTTGTATGAAATGATACTACCTGATAAAAAAGAAGCTTGTTTGATAGTTTTGAATACCATTATGCAGGTACAAAGAACAATTTGAGTGCAAAACATTCAGAAATTGACCTAGATCTCGATCTAGATTATATCCCCTTTCCATACCTGCCAACATTGCCTGGGCCCAAATCTGTAGTTGGACGCAAATTTTTGTCCAAAAATCTGTAGTTGACCTAAAAAAATCTGTAGTAAGGCTATATTACCTCTTGTCGCATGTATACATATTTTGGGACCCTTATATTAATATTTTATTTTGACCCACTCCTTAGACATGAGGACCTCGAAAGTATAGTCAGGAAACAAGACTTTCATTTTTCTATGCAAAATCTTTCAAATGAGCTTGATTTTGTATGAAATGATACTACCTGATAAAAAAGAAGCTTGTTTGATAGTTTTGAATACCATTTTATGCAGGTACAAAGAACAATTTGAGTGCAAAACATTCCCCTGGTGTTGCCTTCACCTCCCCCCCCCTCCCCCGAGTGTATCTTTAAAAAAAATAATCCTCCCCCATTCTGGAGACCTATACTACGCAGCGCTCAGACTTTGAATGAACTTTGGTGACCCCTACAAGTGCCCGTGCTCACAATGTGATGGAACGCGCAAGTTCATTGACCGGTCACAATGGCGAACCCGACAAGACGCTTGTATAACTATTATAACTTTCTTTTCTTTTCTTTTTTTTTTCACAAGTGACAGCACAGCACAAATATTGATTTATTTTCAAGGCGACACAGCGTTTGCCATGCACAGTCTGCATGTTGTTACAATAAATGTTGCGTTATCAAACTACTACCAGCAAATTTCTGGGTGGTAACGAAAGTGAAAGTATATCTTGATTATCCCGATCAAACGTCGGTATCACACCCGCTTGCCACCATAGCCGCCTGTCTGCGTGAACAAACATACTCTCGAGGGAGCCGAATGAATCACAATCGCGACCGGCAAAAATGAACTTTCGGGCGTTATCGGATTTGGTTTTCAAATATTTGATAACTTTCTCAAATTCCCGGGGCCTGGCAGTCACCCTGCTGAATCCCGAAGTCGGTGGCTTCATCTCAAAATCGGTGGATCGGTAGTTTGACCCTAAAGTCGGTGATCTACCGATTTTTTCTGTAGGGTTGGCAGGTATGCCTTTCGAACCTCAGGTCATTCATAACAACAAGAGCGTCTAGACTAGACTAAAGGATTTATTCGAATGGGCGTAACTACTCGTAATGTCTTATCAATTTGTGAGAAGGGGTTATTCATGTGTTTGTAACAAATTATAAATAGAAAGCTATGAATGATAGAGCGTTATTTTCATCATTGATTAACACACTCCTATGGTATTCACGGCGAAAACACACGTTTCGTTCCCGGCGCGCGCACTCAACTGTGCACCAACTGCCAACAGTACACACTGAGTGACCCCGGCAGCCTGCCCGGCATGTCCGACGTAATCGGTTGCTGATAAGATTCACATCTCAGCACAGACGCAGGACAAAAGTTAAGAAACAGTCAGACAGAGACAGAGTGTTGAGAGACTCACTGAGAGAGAGTGAGGAGAGAGTGAGAGGGTGAGAGAGAGAAATGTAGCCACTACTCTTCTATGGAACTCAATTCATCCGAAGTGGAAACACAGAACCATCACAATATATGGTCAAAAGAGGGCAAACCAAAGCAAAAGCTACTTTCTCTCGGCAAATTACCATTTTTGATCTTTGTGTTCCGAAAAACTCAACGTTTGTTTAGTGTTTGGAAAAGAAAGTTACATGAGTAGGCCTAGCACTTTTCCGCTTCCGGGCCGGGAGTTCCGTCCGAAGTGGTATTCGCTTAGTTCTCTAAATTCTAAAGGTCTAGATCTAGAACTAGATTCTATATATAGATTCTTAATTGACTACCAAAACCGTAAAGGAATTCCTATACCAGGGCTGTACAATCTCTTCTGGTTTCAGGTGGGTCTAGTTATAGTCTCAAGTGACTAGATCTAGATGCCTGAACAATTCAGTAACATTTTTTTAAAAAATCAAACAAGTAGACATAGATCTAATCCAGTCCGCATTTACACTAATCAAATGTTGGTCTGGATCGTGGAGAATTTTTTTAAATGAATTATAAATATATCATAAACTCTGTAATTTTGCAAGGTCTGTGTTTAGCCGGCACTGACTGAGACTGAGGCAAGAACAGGTAGATCTAGATCTTGATCTAGAATCTAGATCTAGATCTAGATTCTAGAGATCTAATTTTAAGTAGGCCCTGAGTCTGAGCCTGAACGGTTATAGAATCTAGGGTAAGATTGAAAAATACTGGACCAGCGGACTGACTTTGCCTATGTGACATGTCTCAACCTTACGAATTCACAATTTTCCCGTTTTTAACTCTCAATGGAGAATCTCGGACCGGTAGATCTATTCATTAAAATTTTGTCAGGGGGGAGACCCACCTGAACCCCCCTCCCCCCTCCTCCATCCCAACCACCCGCCCCACTTTCTCGCACAATAATGTACGAGTGGTCCGGTATTCTTCAATCTTCCCGAATCTATAAATCTAGAGATCTATTTTCTAGATCTAGATATATAGATCTCTCTAGATGTAGATTAATTGAGTATCATCAGATGTGCAATAGTCATGAGTAATTAACCGAAAGTGGCTATTCTCACCCGCCCGGAAGTTCTCGCAAGATCAACTCCTCCCCTCTTCTCTCTCTCTCCGTCTCTTTCTGAATACTGTCTATCGGTGTGGACGATCAAATTGACCAAAACAAAGTTAAAAAATGATGTTAAAACACAAAAGTAAATAAATTTGGTTGTCTACAAAGATGCTACGGCTATTTAACTTTTCGAATCGAGCCGAACTACGCGGGTCGCCATTTTGTTTTGCCCGGAAATTCTCGCGCTACTCCTCTCTCTCTTTCTCTCTCTCTCTCCACTGCCCACAGACAAAATTGTACGCTTTTAGTAGGCTACAATTGTAATGGAACGTTTGTTCACGGCACAGAATTCTACAATTTTTCTGTTATCACAGTGTAGAATTCTGTGGTTTAGGGTGAACGCGCACCGGGTGAGAATAGCCACAAGACTCGCCTGCACTATTCTCACTCCGGGTGAGAATAGAGGTGGCCTAATTAACCCTTTTGTTGCCAGGGTGTACATGATGCGTCCCTACTGGCAGCACTGATTTTCAGCTGAGCTCGTTACCCACAACCAACAACTGCGCAGTTCATGTCAACTGAGTGTATGACAATGGACTAACTAGCGGTCTTGAACTAGATATCTATACATCTATATCTACTAGCCTATTTTTAGTATTAAATAGATCTGTGTTTATTGATTTCTTGCAGGCCTAGCAGAAAAGTAATTTTACTAGACTAGCAAGTTTGGTTCCCTGCCCTATATGCATCTTTTTCTTCCTGAATATACAAATCCACGTACAGAAACTACGTACAGAAAGAAGAATAAGGGACTGATGATATTGATAATTAGCGTGCCGTAATGTTTAACGTTATATACAGGCAACCAGGAACGGCAAATTTTACCAACTTGTTGATGTTTGTGTATTGTAGCTAACAACAGGTACGTCACAAGGCAACGAAGGGGATTCTATAAGGAGATCTTTCTGATGTTTATGTGCGTTTGTTTTACATTTATTTGTGGAATTCGTGTATAATAGAGTTTTAAAGGGCTACAGGGTAGGGGTAGGGTTAACTCTTAGCATACGAAAGGCTATTCCACCCTTTGTAACGCAACCTAATTTTCAACATCATAAACTTTGTTATAAAAAATAAAATTAGCTCCCATTTTTAACATATTTTGTATAAAAATAATTTACACGAAACTGGGGAGAAATTAATGGTCTTTACACATAATAAAATACCATTTTACTAAACTAGCTGATTTGCTGGAGTTTTGCGGATTTTTTTGATGACTTTTTAAAACTAAGGGATGCTTGCGCTTGCGAAATGGCTCGCTGTAAACTCTCTATGAGGAATTAACCCTTAAAACCCTATACCGCTGGTAACCGCTGACACCCTATTTTCCTATACCGCTGGTAACCGCTGGTCACAGAATTCTACACTTTCTTCTGTGCCGCTGGTCGACTTTATCGTTTAATTCCCAGTGGATGTAACTCCAGATGACTCTGTCGCGAGCAGAAAGTACCGATATTGTCACGAGAGCAGTTCTACACAGAAAGTTTGGAAATTTTGCGAGTATTTAAGAAAAAATAGTCATTTTTCGCTGCCAGGTCCTCCAGGCCGCAAAATTTTTGACATTTTTTATCCTAACCAGACCCCAATAATGATCTCCCAGTCTGATATATCCATAAATATGACCGTTGAAGACGATTGCAATGTTCGCATAACATCGATGATGATTTTGACGATAGTGGAATTGGCAGGGGATCACCACTAAAGCTACCAGAGGCTAGATCTACGGCTGGGTCTAATGATACTTTGACTGAAGTAGAGTCGGGGATCACACTCAAGACTTAACTCATAGAGTTGGTCCTAAAAACCAGTGTTTTAACCTTTTACCCTTTTATTCAGACTGTGCATTCATATTATATATAAATAACATTTTCAAACTTCAGGAAAATCTAACAACAATTAAAGACACAGTAAACAAATTATCAAACCAACCTAATTGTTTCTAGTATCTCACTTTTAATTCAGGATTCTAGGGAGGTATGAAAAAAAAGAATTCAGGGTTTTAAGGGTTAATCTAAGTCTTATCTAACCTACCTTTATTCATGAGCCTTTGGATTAGGTTTTTAAGCTTTGGGTAGGGATAGGATTAGGAGCAGGATAGTGAACTAGTTTTGTCATTGTTAAATATCTTTGGGGACAAAACCAGATCATCACAAAGATGATTAAGATTACTTACTCATATCATCAAGTCTTGCTGAATTATGGTACCGTACTGTACTGCACTGCACTGCACCTCACTGCACTGTACTGTACTGTTGTCTTTTGGGTTTTTTTAATCCCCCTCCCCCACACACACACACACACACTTTCAAGGAAACATAATACAAAACAAGAAGGTAAATTTTATTATTGGTAAATAATTCAAGTTTGAAATAAGTTGATTACTTGCATGCACAGTGATGTAATTACACATGGAAATGTCTAAGCTTAATTTCATTATATATTCTTTGCAGCTTCAGAGGTTGCCAGTTTCATCAACATTGCCGTTGTTCTGTTGAACATGGTGCCATTATAAAGTCACAATGATTCGACGCCTCCCAAATGAGGTGAAGGCTTGCCTCCGAACAGGAGTGGCTCTGACGAGTTTAGCACAGGCAGTGGAGGAGCTGGTACTCAACTCTGTGGACGCTGGCGCCACCAGTGTAGCTGTACGCATTGATCTCTCTTGCTTCAAGATACAAGTGGTGGACAATGGCTTAGGAATCACAACTGAGCAGTTCCCACTGGTCGGGGAAAGGTTAGTGGTTCTTGAGGGATGTGATCTGTGTGTTGACTGTTCTGAAACCTTTGGACTTGTAGCACAGTCTGACAGTAATAACTGCACAGGAGAAATATTCTGGCTTATCTTGTACTTTTAGTCCGATAGATGTTTCTAGTGTCCTTTACACAGGTTTTAAATGTGTGTCACAGGCATTTTTTGGTGTACTTTACCAAAGTATTTTTTCCCTACACAGACAGGTATTTGTTGTGCTACCCTTTCATTAGCTGTGTCCCTACACCAGTGTTAGTTTTGCCATACAGGTGTGTGTGCTTTACACTAGAGTTTCTTTTGTTACACAGATATTTGTCTTGTGCTTTTCACCACTGTTTCTTTTGTTAAACAAGTGTCTTTTGTGTGTACTTCTCAGGTACTCTACCAGTAAGTGCCACACAATGGAAGACCTTGAGCATCTTAACTACTTTGGTTACCGTGGAGAAGCTTTGGCCAGTTTACGAAGTGCTTCATCTTTTCTGGAGGTGACATCGAGAGCTAAATCGTCTAGTGTCACTTTTTCTAAATGTTTTCAGAAAGGCCAAGCCTTCGATGTACTGCAGTCTTCTGTGGCCCGCCCTTCCCCGGGCACCACTGTGACCGCTCATGACCTCTTCTACAATCTGCCTGTCAGGAGGAAAAGACTTCATGCTGACTTGGAGATGGAGAGGATACGTTATCGTGTTGCAGGGATCGCATTGGTGTGGCCTCGCATCAGCTTCAGCCTGCGGGATGACGCAATAGGCCATGTGTTGTTGCAGACACACAAGTGTAGTGGGCTTGTGTCCTCCTTCTCCTGTCTGTTCTCACCCGCTCGTGCTCGCCCTTTGATGGAAGTCAGCGCTGAGAGAGATGAGTTCAAACTCTCTGGGATTGTCAGCAAGGAGAGCTACAGTCGCAAAAATCTCCAGTTTGTTTATGTCAATAAAAGACTGGTCCTAAAATCTAGTATTCATCGGCAAATCAATAAGATACTCTCCCGATCATTAATTTTGAAAAGAAAAGGATCAAACATTGATGCTTTGGAAAAGATGGCAACTGAGGATGGGAAAGGTAACTCAGGGAGCCCAGTGAAGTCCGCAGAGAGATTTGGGATTTATGTTCTCAATGTGGAGTGTCCTTTCAGTGCTTATGACATTACTTTTGATCCAGCCAAGACATTGGTAGAGTTTAAAGATTGGCCTAAGCTCATCCATCTCCTTCAGGACATGCTTTATGGATTCTTGCGAACAGAAAATCTTATCTCAGTTTCAGAACCTTTGCTTTCAGGGCCATTTCCCACCAATGAAAAGGAATATAAAGATGATGACATTGTGGATGCAGATGTTGAGAGTGATAGTAGTCCAAGCGAGTCCGTCTCTTCTTTTCAACCTCTCGATATTGACTTTCGTGATGATCCGAACCAAAAGGCAATAGGTTTAATGAAATCGTTTGGAAGAAATAGCTGTATGGACAGTTCCGAGACATTCTTACAGTCTAAGTCTGTGAAAAGACCAAAGCAAGTTGTTGAAAGAGATCAAAAGGATGCTAATGACTTTATGGGGGAGTTCAATGGCAGGTCAAGCCCAAAGTCTATGACTGGCAGTTCACAACAAAGTCATGCAGTAGCTGTGGGTCACTCCGAAGATGTTTGCACTGTGACCACTGGCAGTTCTGGGAAGGCGCAGGATGCTCAAGCGCCTTGCTGTGAAACAAGTTGTGGAGAAAACACAGTAAGGGTTAGCTGCCTGTCTACTCAACCAATTAAGTCCCCTCCAGAGCCAAACAATGATGCTAAGAATCAGCAGTTGGGTGACGAAGCTTATCACATCGCTTCACATAATCCATGTAAAGACAGACCTTCACTCTCAGAGAACACCCCTGACAGAGCTGGAAAGGCTTTCCCTCTCACGCTGAACCCTCCACTTCCAAGGTTTACAAGACGCAGCTTGAGTTTTCCAAACTCTGAATCACCAACAGCCCCTTGTCAGTCTGTTGTCTCCAAAGGTTTTGATCAGTGTCAGTTGCTTGTAGGGAGCAAAAGACGAATGTCAAGTGAAGACCCCGTTGGACATGGCCTCACTTTACAGAAAAATAATGCAATCAAATCACAGGAGCCAATCACTTTAGCAAAGTCAAGATCTGTGTCATATTCCTCGAGTCTGCAGAGCTGTCGTCGTGTGAGGACCGCACCTGAGAAGATGTCAGATGTGGTGACAAACACATTACAAGATCTGAGACAATCCTTAAAGCAGTCAAGAAATGCCATGCTAAGAAACAGCTTTAAAACTCCTGAGAGAGCATCACGCAAAAGACTGGATGATATTGATCCTGCACCTCAGATCAAGCTGTCGAGGACAACTCATGGAGAAGAGCACAGCGTGTCTCAACAAGAAAGTTCAAGAGCTTTTGAATCTTTCTCCTTTGGTTTACCAGCCTCAGGACTGCTCAACGATAAGAATAAGAGCTGTTCCATGTCCTCCCGTGACAGTGTAACCAAACTCGAAGCGCCTCAGCTTGACCAAAGACAGGAAGTTTCTAGTGTGCACTGCTCCGCCATTCCGTCAAAGCGATTGTCCCAACGTGTGAGTCATGCCTCGAAGCTAGCCCGTTTGATGCGAGGAGAGACAGTTCATTCTGGCATTGTGGACGAAAAAGGTCAAAGTCAAGATTGTGGGCGGTCGAGACACACTAAGCTCTTACAGTCTTTCCGCTATGGCAGGTCTAGTGTTGACACTAATAGACCACTCTCGTCACGTCAACGGACAGAAAGATTTGATAGAATGTCTATATGTGATGTAACTGATGGACAGAGAGAAGGACCAGTGGGTGACATGGATTTCTCTGACAAGCAGGCAGTGTGTCAGTCAAGCGGGAGTCACCCTTCAAGTCAGTCCGTCACAGGAAAACGATTGCCATTTAGTCAATATCAGACACAAATGAGTTCAGAGAACAGAGCTGAGACCAGGGACAAGTCTCCTACACTATCCCTGGTACTGACCCTTCCTTTGAACTCCTCAAGTCAAGATGCTCACAAAGATGATAAGGCTGACGTATCACTTGCTCACTGTAGCCCTGGAAATTGCAGCATGGATGGGCAGTCAGGGCAGTCAACACACGAGGATGTCCTGAACAACAAAAATCTCAAGTGTCCACAATCTCAAGGGAAGTTTCCTCTTGTCTTGTCACAAGGGTTTCCCACTCACCAGGAATGTCGCACTGTGACCCCCATCAGTGTAAGCAGTTCTCCCCAAGAACTGGGTTGTGGAGAAAGTACCTGCCCTCCTGTGACCTCTACGAGTTCCCCACCCAGTCCACTTCCTTCTCAAGGATTTTCAGTGCCTCAACAGACAATAGGAGACATAGGAGCTGCAGATTCACTGCTGAGTCAAGCTCAGAAGAGGGATGAAGGACAAACATGTTCTTCTAGCCCGTCAGTTGGCTCCAGTGAGATCTGTGATTCAGAAGGCAGAAACACGATCAAGTCTTCACAAGACATTCAGGCAGGCTTTGTGTCTGATGGTGGTCAGATGTGTCCTGAGACGTCACTGAACTTCATCTCCAGCTTGAGTCCCTTTGACTGTGAAGTGGGGATACCTGATATAGCAGATGCTCAGGCTGATGAACAAAATAGTGAGCGAGAGAAGGACAATGTAGCTGGAGTTCCACAACCCCAGCATCCGGTGAATCTCCCTGACTCAAATTGTAGAGTATCCTGTGGCAAGGTCCAGTCTTTCATCGATGGCAGTACGGGGGAGGAGAGGGAAAGGTCAGTGCTCACTACTGGTCAAGTGCTTGTAGAGGGGAGAACTGTAAATGATACTGTGGGGCTGGCCGGTTGTGGTGAGGTGGGTGAGACATCTATGGGTCTGCTCTCGAAGTCCTCATACTTCGATGGGAACTCACTGATTTTACGCTCACCAATGAATCCTTGGAGGAATGCTTCAGGAAAATTGTTGGCAGTGCAGAAAGAAAGAAAAGCTATGATTGACCTGCAGAGTATATCCCTGCAGAGTCAATCGAATGATAAGTTTGAGGCACTGGGGTCGAAGGAGTCCCCGTCTGAGTCACGGCAGACAGTTCTAGCCTATGATTCTCTCAACCAAGACACTGTTCCTGACACTGAAGAATTTCCTCCATGGCATAATACAGTGCAAGTTTTTGCCTCCCAGCAGACGTATAGCCATGGAGGAGAGTCACATGGGTGTGGGAAAGCAGCAGGTAAAGAGGTAGATCTTCAGAGTATACTCTCTCAGACCAGGGAAGTTTTTTCAAACATAGAAAAGATGATGGCAAAGCCAGACGTTGTGCCTGATAAAAATTGGGAGCTACCCTCGTGTACAGATCTAGATCAGGGTTACCCATGTGGAAGACAGAGGCTGGAGGTATCTCTTCAGTGTGCTCAAACTGAAATGTCAGCGTTTACAGAAGGCTGTGATGAGGAAAAAGGGGACGACTCATTTCCTTTTTTGAGTTCTGTTTCCACTCTTGGGAATTGCCTCCCCGCTGCCCTTAGCCGTACAAAGTCTTTCAGCAATGATTTTGGTGTGAAGGACCAAATCCATCACAGGCTGCATACCACGGATGGTAATGGACATGAAGATGTGCCTTATGGGCAACTGAGCTTGAACCAGAAAGAAAACCAGGGCCCAGGGCTACTTTGCCCTAATGTTGAATGTGAGACAAAGGGGCTCTCTCAGGACTCAAACGTCAGCTTTCTCCCCAGGCCAGAACTTGAATCTGCTGAAATGGTGAAGGAGATCAGGGATCATATTGACTGTTCCTCCACTCCATCTTTGAAGGAGGGGGTCATCAGGGGTCAAACAGAGGACAGTGAGCAGTTTCCTGATCAGACTTCTAACCACAGTCTAACAGCTCAATTTTCCAGCTCCGGGGATCAGACATTGATGAAGGTCAGTCTCCCTTGCAGCAACATTCCCCCTACATCCAAAGACAGGATAGATATCACAGAGCACAACAGTCCTGTACTTTCTCGAGACAGGGAGAGTGCCTTATTAACACTCTCTGTTCCTTCTGTGAAAGAGACTGACCATGTTGTAGATGATTCTGAGTCTGAAAGAGGACATCACGCATCAGGTGACGGTAGCCTAGTAGCGCAAAGTGGTCACCTGCAAGGCTTGCACAGTGGCCAGGGTCATCTCTCATTTGGCCAAACTGGTATGATAGCAGGGGACTCTGAGGATACTGGTGACCCTGACAGTATAGTTTCTGCTGGTTCAGTATGTGGGAGACACCCTGAGGAGGTCACAGCTGGGTGCAGAACAGCGCACAAGACTGTAAAGTGCAGTTCACCAACGTCAGGCCTTCAGGAAATGATGGGAGCTGGGAGTAAATCTGCGAGCTCAGAGACAGGGAGAACAGACTCTCTTATGGGCTGTGATGATGAGCCAGTGATGGAAGTTGCCCAAGACAATGGAGCCTTGTGGAGACGAGTCAGCGAGCAGGATACAGGTGAGATTATACTAAATACAGTCAGATAAAGTAGTTGGAGCAAGCCCCTGTGAGTCCTCTTTATTCTTCTGGGTCTGTGATTTATTTCTGTCTTGAAATTTGTTCGTAGCAAGATAAACATAGCTTTTTCTAAATAAAAATGGGTGAATCTTAACATAATGTTTTGCTTTAAGATGTTTGATATATGTACAATGTACTCTGTGCTAAAATATGTTCTGTATAAGGTGAAGGCCTATTTCGATAAGTACACTAATATTTTGTACAGAATGTTCTCTGTAAGATATACTGGGATGTGTTCACTTTTGTCTCCATAAGATTTCCAGGATAAATGTACTTTGTAGAGGGTGTACCCTCATGAGAAGTGCAGTGATTCTGTGCACACATTCACACATTTACAGCAGCATGTGTCTCTCTGCGAGTTTTGAGAAATAAAGTCTTCTCTTCTCTATCTAGGAGGTAGCGCAGTGTATGTGAACTGTGAGTCCCTGCACTACATGAGTGAGCACCAGTGGTTGGCTCTGCCCTCACAAGAACGGAGAGAACGGCTGGGGGAACAAGCTTCAGGTGCAGTCATCTCCTGTCTATGGATATTTGTTGACCGAAGGGACATTGTAAAATTAATTGTTTTTATTGAACGAGAACTAAAATCTCATCATTTTCACCAGTGTTCAGCCGGTTAGTGTTTACAGTTCCCAAATTCCATTTGGTTTTAAGGTTTCTCAATTCCATTAGAAGGTAGGTGGGGGGGATCCAAGGATCTTGCTAAATTTTCGATTTTTTGGGATAATGTTGACCTGATGAGCCTGAGGACATGCCTGAGTGTGACTATCTATGCCCTTCTGTGCACAAAATACATTCCTCAGTGTATGACAGTGTGTATCTAGCGGTCATCAATATACAGGAGCTGAGGTGCATAGACCCTGTAGATTTGGTAGATGGGTAGGGCTCAAATTGTTGCTAAGATTTTTTTTCTCAGTATGGTACGTGTTGCTCTTATCTCAACGTCGACTTGATATTATTGTGTCTTCTGTAATCTCAACCTCTTACATGTTTTTACAGAAAAGGCCTCAGAGAACACTGTTGAGAGGGTTCCTGCATCACTCAGTCTGTGTGAGGTGGCAGACCTCCAGGCCACGGTGGATAGACATCTCAGGCAGGAAGAGTCGGAGGCCACCTCCAAGTGGAGGGCAGGGACACGCCCGGTGTATGGTGGGTGTATTAGGTGCAATTTATTGTTATTATGTTGGGTGGGTTTGAGGTCAGTGTGGAGAATGGGTATGTCATGTTGCCAGAGTAAAAGTTCGTTTTTTGGTCAGTATGTAGGGTGGGCATGTTGTCCATCGGGGTGTTTAGTGGCTGTGTTGTTAGAGTGTTTGGTGTGTGTGTGTGTGTGTGTGTGTGTGTGTGTATGTGTGTGTGTTGGAGAGAGGGGGGGGGGGTAATCATTTAAGAGGACTCCACTGTTTATGTTGATATGTTGTTTTTGATGACTTTATAGCTGTGAATTTGCCTTTTTTTTTACTATTATGTTGCTCCAGTTCAAAAACTGCCATGCCTCTTGCCTACAGTCTCTTCCCCTTGCCATGTCCCCAGATTCAGAGGCCAGTGCTGATGTGTCCTCTCTTTTGGCAGGCTGGAAGAATCCTGTTTTTACAATGTTTAAAGAGGTAAGGATAATTGGCATGACCGAACTAATTACCGTCAGACTATCGGGCAAACCCTGATGATCTGAAATGAATGTTACAGAGTTGGTTAGTTGGGCCCTGATCTTACCTCAGGCGTGCACATACATACTCATGCACATCCAAGCACATTCTGTCATCGCAAAGTATCAGTAACCTAATAACCTAACAACCATCTTCCATTGCCACCTACTGTTCTCAAAATCTGTATGATATGGTGTATTTAGACGAACAAGTGAAGGTAATACTACCATACATTGCAGTAAAACCGTAATTTTTTAAATTTCAGTCCCCCCCCCTACTCTCTCTCTCTCCCTCCTTCCCCCCCCCCCTTCGTTTTCTCTCTCTCTCTCTCTCTCTCTCTCTCTGTCTCTCACCCTCCCTCCCTCCCTCAAGTTTTGCTTATAGCAACAAGTTCCTGTCTCATTCACCTCTACTTAAATTTCTATCTGTCATTCCCTTCCCCAAATAACAAAACTTAAGTCCCTGATTTCTGTGGCAAGACTGGCCCAAAATGAGCCCATAAAAAATATAGAAAATATAATCCACATTTAATCTCAAATAAATGGAATATTTTTTTTACTTTTAAAATTAGATTATATGTAATATTACCGAAGGCACAACGTTTCTTTCCCTCTGATGAATTTTTTAAAATTGTAAAGCGTATAGAGCATGCTGTAGAGCCTGGATATGCACAGCATAAATACAATTATTATCAGTATTATTATTATTATTATTATTATTATTATTATTATTATTATTGTCTGCCTGTCTGTCTTACTCTTTCCCTTGGCCTTTGCTGTGTCTATGTGCTTCTCTTTCCTCAAATGAAAATAAAACAGGTTGTGTGCGTTTTTGCTAGTTATGTCACATTTTTTTTGTTTTTCTCCACTCTCCAGCCCTCGCTGGTGGCCGACACCCGTCGTGGGGACGCAGCTGCCCGCTCATGTTTTGACAGCCTCAGTCTGGTTGAGTTCTCCAAGGCCATGCTGAATAAAGTGACGGTAAGTCCTGCTTTACTGTTGTTGTGGATTGTGTAAAAGCGTTTGTCAAGAGGCTGTTGTGGACCCCACTTGCAGTCATACTTCAGTTTCCAGTCTAGTGGTTTGGTGGCTTTGTTTTTTTTAACCTATTTGGTTGGAATAGTTTTTGTTTTACTGGAGGCAACAGTTCCAGTGTTGATTGTGAAAACAATGTACAATGGAGTCTGCTTAAACTGAACACTGATAATTCGAAAAGAGCAGTAAACCAAAAAATTTTAAAAATCTCTCTTTTTTTCTTCTGATTTAGCAGCTTCTCCAAAGTGAAAACTCACCAAAATCGAAGAAAATCTGGTGGTCCCGCATATTTCAGTTTAAATGGACTCCACTTTATTCAAAACCTATTGTTGAGTTCATGATGGAGCTTGCCCTTTGATCCTTTCTTGCTCTTTTTCTGCATTCTGAAGAGGACAGAGGGACTAAATTCAATGTATTGATATAATGGTCTTGTTTATTTTGTTACAGTATTATTTCATGAGTATGCTGGTATGCGTATGCACTTGAGTTGTAAGAAGGCCAGGGCATTGTACTTGTGAGTTCAAGACAGTGTGGGATAGAGAGAAATAAAATCATCATTATGTTGCAGTTGCTGATCATCTGAGGTTCAAGAGCTGTGTCTTTGTTGGCAAGGAAATCACTTTACTGTCTTTTCTCTTCACTCAAATTTCAAATAAACAAAACAAACAAGTAACTCATTAACATCTGTCACCCACAGGTGATTGGTCAGCTGGACAACAAGTTCATTGCATGCCTGGTGGAGAAGCCCCTGGCCATCACAGGTGAGTTGATCAGGTGCTCTCAGGGCCTGGATTTTTCCAAATAAAACAGGCCCAAACTGAAAATGGGATTTATTGAACAGGCCAGTTATGATTCATGTTTTCTTTTACTCAAAATTTATTTCACTGTTTGCTTCCTTGTGTGGGTATTTTTGTGTGTGTGTTTGTTTGTGTGTGTGTGTGTGTGTGTGTGTGTGAGCATGCATGTGACGCACGAGCATGCATGTTTGTGTGTGTATGTAACAGTGTGTACGTGTGTAGATATAATAATAATAAATAGCATTTGTATAGCTCATAACCCCGCTCTACAGCAAGCTCTATGCGCTTTACACAATATTATTACCCCAGCAGACCATAGAACACATTCTCAGCTTCCGGGGAAACATACAGTGCTAGCACCTGATTAAGGGCTCAACACTAACAAACTGACAAGATCGTTCACTGTCTATAGCTAGGTACCCATTCCCACTTGGTATGTGTAATAATGCGTACTATTATTTTATCACTATCCTACTTCTCCTCCGTCTGATGTTACATACAGGAAAAATGTTTCTATGTTGCTTTTATATATAACTTTTGTTTGTGTGTTGATAGAAGGGGTCTCTTAGTGTAGTTGAGGTGGAAACTGATCTGTTGTACAAGGAGGGAGCAAAGTGATGTGACATGAGACTCTTGTGCAGAGACTGACATTATGTGAATTAATATAAGGTTGTTATGCAGGTGGTGATGAGGTGGGGGAGGGGGGGGGGATGATGTAATGTGAGACTTTTGTTCATGAGCTGACATGACATGACATAACACAAGGCTGTTGTGTTCTCAGGAACGGCGTCGACGTTGAAGTCATCCCTCCTTGTGCTTTTTGATCAGCACGCTGTGCATGAGCGGGTCAGATTGGAGTACTTGACCGCAGGTAAACATACACTTAATCTTTTCGTGTTGTTTTATTGATCCTCTCATTTTATGGGTGGTCAGAAGACATCAGTATTAAGCCCCTACTTTTTAAAATCTGTCCCTCAGTTGCTTTCTACCTTTTTGTCTTCTTCCCAGTGTTATACAACTTTAACTGTTATCATGTTTTTGTGGTTCTTTTCAATGCTCACAGAACAAACAAATCTTGCCGTGTTCTGTTCTGTTGTGCGATCGTATCTAATCATGATTCACATCATCTTGTCATGATTCACATCATCTTGACCTGTTATGTTAACCTGTCAGTTCTTGACAGGTTTTGTTTTGTCATGTCATATGACATCTTTTTTTCTTTTCATGACATGTTGTCATGTTGTCTTTCCTTAAAACTGTATTTGCCTTTTAAAAAATCATGTCACTTAATCATGTTGTCTTCCCACCTGGCCTCATCTTGTTTTGTTTGTTTAGTCATGTCATTTTATTGTACAAAATGTGATGTCATGTTGTCTTGATGTCTTTCTGACTGAGTGGGCCTTGTCTTGTCATGTTTTTCCTGTCACATTATGTTGATGACTGTATACTTGCTTTATAGTTTTGTGTACGTTTTATCAAGCTATATCAAATTTTCTCAACATTAAGATACAATTATGAGCACTGACGAAGAAGAGTTTGCCAGACAGCTTTTGTAATTGTTTTCACACATATTGTTTTCTGAACAGCAAGTTTTAAAATTCTGAATGCAAATGGAAATATTGAGTACATGAAACTTGTGCATTGAAATGTAAATGTTTAATTCTTTATCTTTTGATGGGTTGAAGAATATGAATGATTAGAACAATAAAAAAAAAAATTTTTAAATTATTCTTTGTCAAATGTTAGATCAAATGCTGACCTGTGTCATCAGGATACATGTACTGTTGTCAAGTCTTTTTCAAGTATCCGAGTCAGTGAGAGTAGTCATCTGGTCTTGTAGCAAGATTACTTTCACACATACATTTGATAGCTGTTCTGATTTTTCAAACTCTCTAACATTTTGTTTTCCTCAGATGCTTATAAAACAAATGTTGAAAAACCAACGGACATGCTCAGGAGTGTAGAGATTATGCCAGCTCTGACTGTTGTCATGGATACGGATGATGTGCGGATCATGAAAGCTTTCCAGAAAGAGTTTAACAGAATTGGTCAGTGTTAGCGTTCTTCCCCAGAGAGGCTTGACCCTTCTCAGAACTTGCCTGTCCCCGTCGTTTTATGCAAGAAAAATTATGAAATTATGCAAACTGAGCCCAAAGATGTGAAATTATACGATTCTGTTAATTTTAACAAAGAATGATAAAGAAAAATAATCAAAAATTATGCAAAAAATGATCAAATTTTGCTAAATTATGCGGGGTTTATAATACCATAGGGACAGGAACTTGCTGTGTTAGATAAACTGTTTTTCTTGAATGAGACCTAAAAAGCTGCCTAAGACAGGGACATTTTGGTATCAGTGACAAGATTTACTTTTTGTTCATTGAAACAGTGTGTGTCTTTGGGATAATTTATTCTTTATGGTGAGAACCATTTGTATGCTGCAGCTAGGGCGGGAGGGGCAACTGAGATTTAAGTTACAATGTAAAGGTTTATTTCATATCGTTAAAATTATGTTTTCATATATGTGTATTGACATGTTTACATATGGACTTCAGCCAGGAGATAACTAGGACATTGTACTTGTGGGTTTTATATCATCATCATCATCATCATCATCATCATCATCATCATCATCATCATCATCATCATCATCATCATCATCATCATTATCATCTTCATCATCATCATGCGCCTCTTTCACCCTTTTATTGTGTATGGGCTGCCAAAAAGAGAACCCCGCCTGTCTCTGTTCTGGGTGATTGTCTCCACCTCCAGCCAGCTGTGTCTTATATACCTGAGATCTGCCTCTAGATCTTGCTCCCTTGTAAATCTCAGCTTTCCTCTCTTTCTCCTTCCTTGGGGGTATCAAAGTTAGGTTTCGGTTCTGTATAGTGTTGGATTAAAAGAAGAATAAAGTGCTGTTGTTGTTGTTGTTCATCTCCGCAACCTTAGCTTTGTGTCTTGTGTGAGGTAATTATTTCAACAGCTCTAAGTCAAAATGTCTTCTGATTGTGACAGTCTAGATCGTAACTGTCCCTTGATTGTAGTTGTGAACTTGTTGGTTTCCAGAGAACTCTTACTGGTGTGATATTGATAGATAATCTACCATAATATTTAAAAACTCAGTAGTTAAATCAGTACACCCTACATGACCATGCAGTTTACAGAATCATAAGTTCCCTACATACTGTGTGACAAGATTGATTCTAAGCCCCTCTGCACCCTGTGTGACAATATCGTGTTATTAGTTTATTATACACAGTGTAACAGTACCGAGTCATTGGTTCATTTATTACGCACAGAGTGAAAATATTGATTTGTTGGCTCCAAGTCATTAGCTCACTACCCGCATTGTTTTAATATTTAGTCATTAGTTCACTATACGCTGTGTGACAGAACTGAGTCAATGGCTCACTGCACACTGTGTGACTGTACCACATCAATAAACTGCTCCTTGTGTGACAATATTGAAGCATTAGTTCTCTACACACTGTTCCTATTCAAATGTCAACTTGTACAAGACACATACTGGAGGTTTTTTTTTCATTACAAATCACCAGGTATCAGTTTCAGAATGGATCGGGGTAAGAGAGACACAATTCACATCACGTCTGTGCCAGCCTGCATGGTAGAGAAGGATGTCGCTGACCTCAGGCGCAGCAAAGTGTACGGGACCCCAGAACTTATCCAGGTAGTTTTGTCTGGCTTTGTATGATGTATGAGAACATTCTCAAGTCTCTGTTTTTTTATCAAGTGTATATTATTTTGGAACACATTTGGAGCATGTTGAGGAAAGAAAGATCTGAAGGGAGGGGATTTGTACTTTAGCAATCTGCTCTCTCTACGTGTACTGCCCAGGCAAAGTTGTATCTTGCATACTTCTTTTAGATTGTCTATCAAGACCCAAAAGACCGTATATAGGACATATCCTGGTGAGCTCTCTATTTTTGTGGAGTATGCGGGAACAACAGAACATATCCATATCGTTGCTGTATTCTGCAGTGGTTTCTCATTCCTGTTCTTGTGATAGTTTTGAGAATTGTTAGTCCTGGGATGTCTATCCTGAGCTTCTCGATTAACTTTTGTTTAATTGACTACATTTCAGTGGTCAAAATTTATAATACACTAGTTCATCTACCAATGTTAGTGACACATTGAATAGTAAAGACAAAGACAAAAATGTTGGTTCCTTAACTTACTTTTATCCCAGCGTACTGTCCTCACTTAAGGGGATAAAATGTGTATTTGTTAATACTATTAAAAAACTAACAAAACGCAGTCTTTGTCCAGTCAACTTCACAAGACTTTGGTAATATGATGTCAGAATCTGGTGACTGAACGTTCATTGCTTTAGATGGGGGAGGGGTGGGGGGATTCAGAGACATGGAAATGGTCACTTGTCATTTGACAAGCACAGATGCAGCAGAATATTTGACCTTGAATTGCTGGCACTTGTATGTATTTGTGCTAACATTGTCTGACATGTGAAGGTTCTAAATTCAGGTTGAAAAATTTGTCATACTGCGCTGTTAGGCAAAGGTATTAGTTTATTGACAGCTCCTTCTATGTTCTTTTGTTCTTTTCTGTTTTATCTGTTTCAGAACCTGGTGAAAGAACACACGGATGTGAGTATCCTGGTAGCTTTGTGACTGTCAGTGTGTGTTATGTTGACTGTTGTTGTTTGTGTCTGTTTCGTTAGTAGTTATCTGTATGACTGTATGACCATTAGTCATAGTGTGTATTGGGTTAGATTAGCTGTTGTTTGTATGATTGTCCGTGTGTTGTCTTAGCTGTTGTCTGTGTGACTGTCAGTATGTGATGGTCAACTGCTGTCTATGTGACTATTAGTGGATGTTGTATTTGCGCTTATTGAAATTTAGATTTAGCTGTGTGACTGTCAGTGGAGGTAGTATTAGCTGTTTGGCTGGCTGTTTTGTTTCCATTAGCTTTGTTTCTAATAGTGTATCTTGTGTTAGCTGTGTGACCACCAGTATGTGTTGTGTATTTGTTTGCTGTGTGAGACAGTGTGTGTTTGTTGTCAAAAAGTGCTTGTTTGTTGTATGCCTGTTGGCTGTTTGTCTGCCACTGTGTATGTTGTTTACTATTGTTGTTTGTTTGTGTATGTTTTGTACCTTTAAGACCTTTGTATGTCTATCTTCCATCAGTGAGCACTGTTTTTACTTGTCACTTTTTGTCTGTTTGTTATGCTGTGTATCTTTTTAGGCCAGTGTGTGTAAATCATCTGTCAGTGTGTAGGCTACTGTGTAGACACTTATATCTCATGGTGTGTTGCAGGGTAAATATATAAGTATGTGGTACACATTGATTTTTTAAAAAATGATACCATTTATCTTTGTGGGTGGTTGGCGGGTGCTCTGGTTTGGTTTGCTCCTTCTTTACTATCGAACATCTATCGTCCTGATCTCTCATCCTTTTTTGTGTTTGTTACTTTCTTGTAACACCTCACTCTAATCTTCGGCAGTTTTATGACCTTATTGTGTTGTGCAAGCGCTGTAAAACTATTACCGCTAAAACAGACAAAACCATTTATCTTCAGCTGTTAAGAAACACCAACGGCGCATGTGGCCGTCTACCTCTAGCCATTCATCAGATCCTGTGCTCACAAGCATGTCATGGTAAGATGTCTTGTCTGTGTTTGTGACAATTATGAAACTATAGTTTGGTGGAAGGATGGTCACTTGTCGGTTGTTGATGTTGTTGTTGTTGTCACGTGATGGAAGCAGAGTGTTTAAAAATATTTTGAAATGGGTCAGATCCATTGAAAACGAAAGAAGGCAGAGAGTATATTTGCAGTATGTATCAATATATTTTATCTGTCTATACACATTTGTCAGAATATAATATATAATGGGGAAAGCATACATGGCCCATTTTTAGTGTGTAATGTCCTTGCTATTAACTCCTAGAATTGATTTTGTGTGTTTTCTTTAACTGCCAGAGTTAAATTTGAACTGTCATTTAGAATTCGAGTAAATTTTTGTATCACTGTCATTTAAAAAAATGTTGATCCATCTCTGTCATCATGCCAAAAATTAAGATTGGCAACTTTAGGGAAGCTGATAGTGAGGTTGAATGCAGAAAAATCAGGCTCTTTAGAGAGATTTGAGCCACAATCTTGATTTGGAAAGTGACTCGGTCTAGATCTAAAATTGTGGGTGATACAGTGCGCGTTTCTTGAAAAATGCACATTGAAGCTAAGAATTTTTTTTTTAAAAGGAAGTATCATAATGTATACCATGTATATATCTTTAACTTGACAAGAGTCCATTGATAAGCTCCATAGTTACGTCTATCTTTACGGCTACCTGCCACAGGTGCTGTCAAGTTTGGCGACCCGCTGAAGACTTCTCAGTGTCGGGATCTGCTTTCCTCGCTGTCTGCCTGTCGTCTGCCTTTTCAGTGTGCCCATGGACGGCCTTCAGTAGCACCTATAGTGGACTTCACCGCTCTAGAGCAGGAGATATCCTCTCAGGTAAACCAGTGGGTCTCACCAGTATTGAGTATAATAATTGCATTTATTATTTATTTAGTAGACATCCATGTTCTTCAACATACTCTTTGTGCTTTACAATTATTAGTATCCCAGCAGACCCTACAAGAATACTCTGAAACTGAAACATTTTCGGCTTCCCAGAAAGTATACAGTGCAAGCTGCGGATTATCAACACGAACAGACTGATAAGATCTTCTGCTGTCAATGGTTTTGTAGAAATTCCCACCTGGGTGAACTGATGTAAATTTGTGTGGAGTGCCTTTCCCAGGGACATATCGTAGAGTTTTTAATGAGATTCAAACCCTTGGCCATAAGGTTGAGTGTCTGAGAGCCTAACCACTAGATTACCAACGTCTAATGGGCTTTGAATAAGTGCCTACCTGGGTGGTATAAAGATATAGCTAACATTGATATGAACCAGTACCAGCATACTGAAATGTCATAGTTCAGTGGTCTTTCCTCAGTCCAGCATATGTACTAGTATGAGACGTGTTCTGACAGGACTCGTGTACTGAAAAGTTTCTTATCATTTGTAACAATCATTAACTGTGCATGAAAAGATTGCTCGGAAACACTCTTGCATCATGTCTTAATATTGTGCAAGTTTACAGAGCAAAATCACATATGACATTGGCACAGAAAGTGTTTATTTCTGTTTTGGGGCCTTCTTGACACTTGCTCACTGTGTTTCTTAAGATTAGTTATTTTAGACTTACACAGCTCTACTAAACTGTTACAGTTACTATGAAATATTTATGACGGCTTGTGGGCCAGTTCAGATGACACAACTGATTGGCCCAAGGAGAGAATAAGTGCAAATTATATCTCAAGACTCTATGTTTGTAGTGCTTGACTTTTTCAAGAACTTGTGTTTGCGAGTATTTGAGAAAGCCTGGATTTTGTTTTGTCTGTTGTATTTTCAGATAAGGAAGCCCAGGCTGTGGAAGATAGCTCAACATCTAAACCAATAACCAGCCCTCACGCCAATGCTGTTTCTTTCCTCTAAGATTCAGACAGTATTGAACAAAGAAAAAAGGGGGATTGCTGATTTATAGTCTGAAAAACGGACTTTTCCCTGGTGTTTTGGAGTGTGTGTAATGGGGGGTTTTTTGTGTTGAATCTTTTCAACAAGGCTTCACAGGACATGTGTAGCTTTGACATCAGACTTAAAGCCTCAGAATCTGTTTGGTAAATGTAATATTAGTTTTGGGTGGTTTTCTTTTTCGTTTTTTCCTAGAATGTTCAAGAGCCTTAGAGACTCTCAAGTGATGATAGCAAGTTTTTTTCTGTGATGAGAAAGAGATTGTTCCTTTGATGGTTCTAATCACAGTTGGGTTCTGTACCATGGTTTACAGGTTGTTTCTCCCTCTGACCAGGCAGAGACGCCTAAAGCCTCAATTTTTTTTGTTTTCGAGAAATATATTCATTAGACTAGATGTTACATTTCTTTACATTTTTTGTGTGCATTAGAATTCATGTCAGTTTATAATATTTCTCAAAAAGGCTTTGAAATTTGAGCACTCGGGCTTATTTGATGAAATGGAAAATAGCCTTAAGTTACTGATAGGAAAGACAAACAATGCAATTTAACTTAATTTAAGTCATTTTGATAAATTCATTCATTTTTTTCCCCTTTGAAAATGTTTATCTTCAGCACAAGAATCGTTAACCACAGCTCAGGACTCGGTGGAATATAAATTTTTATTCTTGTACACTGCTGATTTACTCCTTAGTTGTGTAACTGGTGGCTCAGAACTTGTGCCTCGACGCTGTGATTCTCTCTTCTTAGCACCCAGCTCACTGCGTTACTGGAGAAAGTTCTCTGTGTATATTGTGTCAGATGCACTGTTTTAGTGTGCAATGTAATGGCACTGTCCAGGTGCACTGCCATAGCTTATCTGTGATGTTTACAAGTTAAAATTATTAAAGTTTTACCTTTTAACTCTAACATGCTGTCTTGTTTTGCATATATATGTGTGTGTGTGTGTGCGCGCATGCCTGCCCATATGTGTGTATGTCTGCGAACGCACGAAAGAAACAGGGGGTTGTTTCTGTGACCATTGTCTTGGGTTATGTGTGGACCCATGGAGAGATACTCCCTCCATAACAACTCCCTTAAAACTAAAACAATACATTTGTGGTTTCTTTTTCTCCAGCTCTTCGTTCTTCTCCACCCTTCTGCTCCTTGTTCTTTTTATCTTCAAGTGAATGTTTCTGTTCTTATTTGTAGTACTGGTAATTTTTTAGGAGGAGGGAGGAGGTTGGTAATGTTGATAATGATGTGTGGTTGCAGATTTATGAATACAGTGAGTGCCGCATTCAACGAGAAGTCGGCTCCAACGAGGCATTCTTTAATCCCCGATTTTGTCCTCTATATCTCTTTGTAAATGTACGTCGGATCCAACGAGGTTGCAAACAGACCAAAGTCACTTTCAACGATGTCGCCATTACCAAAAAAAGAAATTAGTGGTCCCAAAAGCGAAGAATATTTCTCCTTTCTCTCCATCTCACGCGAAGCACAAGGCCCATCTTCGATTCCTAACACATTGTATTGCTAGATCTATCTAATGTGCCTCGTAATATGGGCCCCAAAGCCAAGAGGATGGGCGAGGGTTAGCCTACGGTAGGGGTGAGTGGGAACGCAATGCGGGCTGTGTGAAACTGGATGAATTCTGGATGGATAGGTCTAGATCGAGACCTTCATTTTTTTCAATTTTCTTTTCTTCCCCTGATCAGAAAATCCAAGCTCCCGCCTTCACTTTATGTTGATCTAGGCCTAGATGTGAGAGGGTATGTTTCCACACGAAAAGTGTTCCGCAAAAAAAAATAATTAAAAATGCAGAAATAACGGTCAGATCACAGCTCAAACACGCGCACGCTGACTGATGCTGTTTGAGATTTTCGTCATCAGGGGGAACAACTGTTTTAATTACTGGTAGTGGTACATCGTGTAATATAATAATTGGTCTCCTTTCTTTACTTTAGCCTCAGTCGCGTTCAACGAGAGGTGGGATCCAACGAGGACAACAAGCCGATCCCGGCAACCTCGTTGAATGCGACACCCACTGTAAAATGATGATGATGAATACAGGGGTCTGCTACTGTGGCCATCGTACATAATATTTGTCCATGTGTGGACGTGTGGAGTGAAACATTTGGACACAAACTTAACTAGCATATTTTCTCTCTTTCCACTGCCTGTTCAACCTCTAAGCCACCTCATGCCTTCACCTCCCCTGCTTTTCCTCTTTAACCTCTAACCCCTGTACCTCTTCTTCTTCCTTTTCCTATTCCTCCTCCTCTTTCTCCTTATTCCTTTTGTTTGCTGTTTGTATGACTATTTCTGTTGTCGATTCTAGCACTGGTGGCATTTGATTGAGGAGTGGGGGGGGGGGGGTTTACAAAGATGTATGAGCGCCAAAAATCTCTTACCAGTGGTAGTATAAGCTCCAAGATATAAGCTACTAACTACGGTGATGGAGGCCAGGGAGTTTTGAAAAGAATCTGATTTTTCAACAAATAAACTTTAATAACTGGCTTGACTGCACTTATCACAACATTTTACATTTAATAACTATATAAACTGACATCTGTGCACAGATGGACACAGAGTGCGAGATCCACACACAGCCAGCCAAACCTGAGTTTTGTTTTAATAGTTGAGGTATATGACTGGTGTTGAGTAGCGAAAACAAAGTACAATGCTTTGAACTGAGGCGAGCTTATTCTGGAATAAGAAAGAATGTGGGGTGCAAAATAGACAACAGAATGTATCTACTGTGTTTCTTCAGGTGCAGAAGAATGGAGGAGTGCGTATAGTATGAAAATCCTTAGGCAATACACGAAGTTTCTGAGGATCACAGTGGCGTACCGTTTCTCGCCAAAAGACATCCTCCTCGTCTTACTCCTCGTCACCTGCACTCGCACCTACTTATTCGATCTGGAGGAACAAAAGATCTGTAGACAGGTTTCCCTGTACCTGGTGCTCATCCCGTAGTAGACGAAGACGTTGAGGATCGAGTTTGCCATCTCCAGAGTGAAGACGATGCCGTAGAGACAGATGTAGAGGTTGTGTTGCTCTTCCCACATGCCGATCTCGGGGTAGACAAACCGTACGTACAGCAGCAGAACGAATGGGGAGAAACAGACGACAAACATGGCGGAAATGAGCAGCACCATGCGCGCCACACGGTTCTCCCGCCCCGCCGCGTTCGACACGGACGACGCTATCTTGGTTTTGGTTTTATTGCTGTTTTTGTTGTCGTCTTTGACGGTGCGAGAAGACCCCATCTTCTCTCTCTTCCAGCGGGCGCTAGAACGGAGACTGGCGTTTGTGATCAGAGTGCACGCTAGAACGACCAGAATGCACACTGTGGGCAGTACGACGTCGTTGATGTAGTAGCTGACAGCTCGTACATGCTCGCGGTCTGAGGTGAAGGCCGCCATGAGGCGTGTCTGGTTGTTCACGGGGTCGAATCTCCAGTCGATCTTGTGCACGATGAACACAGGGATGTAAGAGGCGGGGAAGACCAGGAAGACACACGTCACGCCTATGGACATCCTTTTGGGGGTGATCATATCCTTGACCTGATGCATGGGAGGAAGGAAGAAGGGAGATGAACGGGTTGATGGGGGCTGGTGAGGGGGGAAGAACGACAGAAATGGGTGGAATAGGCTAGATGGGGGGCTGGATAAAGCTGGACAGAGCTTACACTTACTTACTTTTACTTTTATCCGCCGCTTATACCCTTTTGGATGTCGCGGGAAGAAAGAGACGTCTCTCTGTCGCCAGCCGGAGAGCTTGGGTCTGAGGGATGCCGTGGTGTTTCCCTGACTCCATCCATCCAGGTCTTTCTCGGTCACCCTCTAGCCTTGTTGCCATCGAATTTTGGGATGTAGGCACGTTATGCTGGATGATGTGTTGGTAATCGTAGGAGGTGTCCGAACCATTTGATCCTTGGTGTTGGGTGTGATGCATAACATCGTTTGTGCCCACCATTTCTCGGATTACTGAGTTTCTAATTTTGTCTCGCCTGGTCTTGTTTATGCTTTTCTAAGGCATCGTGTTTCACATGTTGTAATTCTTTGCTCTAATGTCTTGTTCGTGGTCCATCTTTGGCATTGATAAGTGAGTGTTGGGATGAATATGGTGTTGAACATTTTGAGTTTTGTTGTCATGGGGATGTTAGGATGTTTCAGTAGTGGAGTAAGCTGGTAATTAACATTATTGGCCTTTTGTACTCGTGTTTCAATTTCTGCGTTCAGCCGCCCATCCTCTGTGAATATATTTCCAAGGTACTTAAATTCTTGGACCTGTCAGAGACTGTTGTTGTTGATGTGTATCCTGGGTGGTTCTGGCTTTCTGCTTACTTTCATTGTCTTTGTTTTGTTGATGCTGATCTTCATGTCGTAGTTGTTACATTCTTCGTTTAATCTGGTGGTGTGGTGTTGGAGACTCCGTTCATCTTTGTGTGCCAGGCTTTGGTCATCAGTGAATAGTAATTCATTTAGGGCGTCTGATTCTGTGTTGGCCTCTTTTGCAATTCTATCCTTGTATTTGTATATGATAAATAGTAGTGGTGATAGGACACAACCTTGTCTTACTCCAGATGTTATCTCGAACCATTCTGTGAGTCCCTCTGACGTTCTTACTGTAATTATGCTGTTCTCGTAAATGGCACGGATGTTATCTAGAAGTTGGCCTCTTAGAGTGTAGTTTTCGAGTTCTTTCCACAGCTTGTTTCTATTCACTCTGTCGAACGCTTTCTCCTGGTCGATATATTCTATATTTAGTTCCCTGTTGTGTTCTATAACCCTTTCGCACATTTGTTGTAGGGCAAATATTGCGTCGGTGCATCCTCTTCCCTTTCTAAATCCCATTTGGGCCTCACTCAGAAATGGTTCAACTTTGTGTCTTGTCCGCCATTCCAATATCTTGGCGAACATCTTGCCCTCCTGGCTTAGCAGAGAAATGCCTCTATACATTCCACAGTCTCTCTTACTGTCTTTCTTCTTCCAAATTGGTACTTTGACCGCGTTTTGCCAGTCGCCGGGAACTTTTCTTTCTGTCCATGCTTTCTGGAAGATTTTTGTGAGCCAAGTTATTCCAGTTTCACCACATGCTTGGATGGTCTCCGTGGTGAGCTCATCTATTCCCGCGCTTCTGTTTTTTTGGGCTGGTTTTAACTGCTTGTCTGATCTGTGATGGTAGGATTGTTGGTTCTTTTTCCCCTGGGTGTCTTGGTTGGAATTTTTTGTTTGTTTGCTTTTGAGTGGTGTTCAAGAGTTCTGAGAAATATTCCCTCCATCTAGATTTAATTTTGGAGCGGTTGATAATGGGGTTTCCTGTTTTGTAATTAATTATAGTTGTTGGGTCGTACGGTTTTTCTCTGGGCCTCATTGATTTTACACTTCAGTAGAAGTCACGTGGTTATTTATGGCACAGTTCGCTTTGGTGTTCTCCGTATTTTGTCCAAAATTCATTTTTTATGCTCTAACAACTTTTTTTTTCCCGTGTCCTGATTTTGGTGCCCGTTTTTGTTGGTTACGTAAAAAGAAAGTAATGGTGCAGATTGTTATATGAAAGGGGAATTGTTGAGTCGGTAATGATGATGATGATGATGATGATAATGCTGATGATGATGATGATGTTGTTGGCGATGGTGACGGTAATGGTAATTGTGATGGTGAGCATGAGGATGATTATTTATGTTGGCGATGATGATGTTCTGATGTAGGAATGTAGGAGATGACGTGCGTATTAGTCTTAGTGTTAAGTTTGTTTGGTGCTTACTCTAGATCCCCGCCAGGCTGTCCTGGGGGGGGGGGGGGGGGGGGGGGGCAGGACACAACCCTCATTCCCAACTCCTCGCATAGAATGACCAAAAATTTGGAAATAATTCGTCATCTTCGTCCCTAGCATTTAATAAAAGTAGGCCGAAAAATCACATGGGGGCCGCTTCTAAGTGATGACATTGTTAGTGTGTTTGTTACCCTACGTCTATGCTATCATATTTTCAAAACAGTGAAAGGAATGTGGCCAATAATCTTCGTAAAAGTTAACTTTCATAGTCAAAGCAGGCTAACTTGTATGCTTACAGGTTATCGTTATCGTCGTTCGCAACCGGTCCCGAGGCACTTCTGTGGTCGTCGGAACAACTCTTGCAGTTTTTTCTTGCTAGTCTGTATTGCGTGTAGTCGTTTTCGTCCTTGGATTTTTTCCATTTCTGAAAAAGTTTCTTCTTTTCTTTGATGGCCTCTTTAACGTTGTCATTCCACCATGGTGTTCCTTTAATATATCCTCTCCCAATTCTCTTCTTTCCACATACATGTACTTTTATCAGTGTTTCTGTTAGCAAGTTTTTAAAGAGAGTCCATGTTTCTTCAACGTTCATCGAACTGATGTCTTGGTTTTCTAGTCTCTTTGTAAGCTCGTCCTCAACTTTCTGCACATTGCCCTCTTCATTGAGTTTTCGTAAATTAATTTTCTCTTATCTTAATGTTTCTTCTTCTGTTTTCGCATGGGTCTTTTTTTCTCTTCGCTCGTCATCATCACTGGTCGGTGATCTGTATCAAAGGTGATGTTTGGGGTTGATCTCGCTTCAGTCGTTTTTGTTCTATGGGCGATTCGCCTCAGTATGAAGTCGATCTGTGAGGAAATTTCTAGGTTGTTCCATTTGTACCACGACTGAGTTTACTTGGCCTGTGCTGATAAAAAGTATTTGTGATGTATAATTCATACTCTGCACTGAGAGCTAATAGTTGTTCCCCATTATAGTTACAATCTAAACTGGTATCACCGTGTGGTCCAAGGTAGTTTTCCCATGGTGTTCTTCTTGGGCCTACGTGTCTATTGAAGTCTCCGATTATGACTAGTTCCTCCTCATCAGGTATGCTGTCAATGGTGTCCGCCAACTTTTGAAAAAATTCTTCTTTATCTTCCCTTGCTTATGTGTCGTTACAGTGGGGCGTAAACTTGGATGGTAGATTCCCTTTATTGCGCTTTCTGTATTCTGATTTTCAAGATCCTTTCTAATATTAATTCTTTCTCTATAACTTATAACTCTTTCTGCCGTGTCAGGTTGATTATATGAATCCCACACCATGAATATTATCATGTATTTTCTTGGTCCCACTTCCTTTTAAACGGCAATCCGACAGTCCAAGTATTGGTATTCTCCAGTTTTTCAAGAGTACAAATCCTTTCTCGTAATCCTTTAACGTTTCCAAGTCGTTTTCTGTCTGTATCAATCCATTTCTTTCTTTCGTTGGTTTTTTTTTTAGCAGTAAATAATCCGCTGCCGACTTGCTAGGCCTGTCACAGTTTCACCAGAGCCCCGTTAGCCTGCAACTTTTCGGGGTGACCCGGGTTCTCCTTCACGGCTAGCGTGACGCCTCAGTGGCATAAAGCCACACTGTACTTCGTTGAACCCAGCAATCCCCTACTTTGTCCAGTTTCCACCTTCCGGGACGTGAACCTGGGACTGGAGGAGCTTACACAGGAAAGTGAGGCGAAATGATCGATGCGATGTAGGGACTGACAAAGAAAAAAAGGTTAGTGGGTATAGGAGAAGAAGATGGGACAGTTATAACTGATGGAGGCGATTCTGGTCTGGGATGGAAGGCGTTGAAATAAAAGAGGCTTGGTGAATCATAGTGAATGTAAATTATAAGGTCGAGGGGGTTGTTGAAGGGGGATGATGAAGGTTGAAGGATCGAGGTGAGGAAGCAGATTTTTTTCCCCCAATAACACGCGAAAGCGAAAAAGCTTTAGGAGGGTTAGTGGAAGGGGTTGGGGTGGCTAATGCGAGATGGTTAGTATAGGGAAGTAAGAAGGATTAAAAATTGGTTAATGGAGGGAGCTGAGGGCTGAGGGTGTTAAAAGGATTGATAGGAGGGGAAAGAGAGAAAGGGGATGGGGAGGGAGAAAAAAAGGGGGGGAGGGAGAGAAGACAGACAGACAGACGGACACACAGGCAAAGACACGTCGAGAGAGACAGGAGACAGTCAGACAAACAGGCAGACAGACAGACAGGAGGAGGGAGAGAAGACACACAGACATACGGACATTCAGGCAAAGACACGGCGAGAGAGACATGGAGAGAGAGAGAGACATGGAGAGAGAGAGACATGGAGAGAGAGAGAGAGAGAGAGAGACATGGAGAGAGAGAGACATGGAGAGAGAGAGAGAGAGAGAGAGACATGGAGAGAGAGAGACATGGAGAGAGAGAGAG